AGAAAAACAACAGAATGATGATGGAATAAACATGTTAGAGCATGAATGAACAAAAGCAGTTTTGTTTGTTTAAAGTAACATACCTTTAGAAATACAACAAAATAAGTAATAAGAGCCCTACTTAAGGAAATCATTTCTGAATAATAAAATTTTGCAAACTAAAATCAAATCCAATAACAACCCACATTTTGTGGCCAAAATTGTAAGTTTTAAGAATAAAGTCAAAATTGTATTTGTTCTGTTACCTTTTTTTTTTTGCAGTCAAGTAGAAAGAGCTAAAGAGCCCATTAAAATCACTTAACTAAAATAACTCAAGAACCCTACTTAATTACTTGCAGACACAGCCAATTGCACAATTGCATGTAAAGACACTCTAAGCAAAAGATTGGGAGGAGAGTCCTTTGAGACCTGTGTGAGAAGCCATACCTTATAGTGCAAATGCCTGCTGCCCTCAACTAGAAGGATTAATACAGTACCTGTTGCGGCTTTCTGCTGCTTTACCTTCTCCTTCCAAAGATGTCCAATAACACCAACCAATAGGATTGGACCAACCCGTTCATCCACACAGAAATGAGTTCTGCTAAAATCCTGGAATGATGAATCTCTTCAGTTGAAGTAGAAAAGACCCTCCCAGCTTTTCCTGACCTTTATCTCTCTCAAGTTCTGTAGAGTCAAGTCCTAAGTTCATCATACATATGAAAAAGAGAGTTCTACCCCTAGAAAAAGTCACCCACGTGAAAGGCAGAACTACTTGAAAGACTAAAGACTCTGTTTAGATGACTACCTCTAGAAGAAAAAATTCTTCATACTTTCACGAGTCAAGAAAGCAAGCCGCCACCACCTAGGAAGTTTTCTCCACAATCATACTCATAGACAATTGCTTGTTAAACAGAAACTTTTCTCCTAAGGAGTAATCCAAGTGCCCCCCCCCCCCCCCCCCATAAATGACACAATTACCTGGAGCAGGCTACTCAGATCCATTTTAGACCAAAATTGTGGTACCTGTTTTCCTGCTATAGCCAACTGAAGCCTGACTCAGATCAACCATACACCTACGACGGGTGAAATCTAAAAATTTTTGCTACTGGTTCTGTGGGCGTGGCTTAATTAGTGGGCAGGGCTTGGTAAGGTGACTGGGAGGGCGTGGCTTGGTAAGGTGGGCGTGGCCAAGTCAATGTCACTTCTTTGCCCTTTTTTAACCTACAAAACACAACACAACACAACACAACTGGCTCACCCACAATATAAAAGCAGCTGTGCTAGAGCCAAAATGGCCCCTGCAACAAGCAGGAACCTCACACAGCCACAAAAAGCTGGTTCAGACCAGCTCAGGTGAGTAGGTAGCGATGGTGGCGGGCAGTTCAGAGAACCGGTAGTAAATGCCCCGCCCCCCATGCCCAGCTGAGCCGCGTGATCATCAGAGCCTTTTTTTCTTTTAAATGTCTCTGATGAGCCAAGCTCTGATGATCCCAGCTGAGTTGCCTGCTAATCAGGCAACTCAGCTGGGATCATCAGAGCCATTTAAAAGAAAAAAAGTTTTTTCTTTTAAATTGTTCTGACGATCCAAGCTCTGACGATCCCAGCTGAGTTGCTGCTAATCGGTAGCAAAAATCCCTCCCCCTCCCCCCCTCAGCTTGCTTATCTTAGCTGCTGGTCTCAATGCCTTGTTGTAATCCCTGCAATCCATTGCATCAGCAAGCAACTGAATCTCTCTGCCTGCAATCAAGCAGGCAGGGAGTTGTGGACTTCAACTCTCAGAATTCCTCAACCAGCAAAGAAAAGCTGGCTGAGGAATTCTGGGAGTTGAAGTCTACACGTCTTAAAGTTGCCAAGGTTGGAGACCCCTGTTCTATTGGGTAATTTTTTTTCCCCTTTGGGAGCTTTAAAAAAATAGTTAATTGGGTTTTTTTTTTAGTTGTTCTTTTTTTACACCTAGCCATTTAAAGTTTAGGAAGTTTTAAATTTAGCTGCTTTTATATAAAAATAAAAATAAATTAAAATAAAATAATTTTTGTGCAGCTTTCTGAGATTTAGTGTTCTGTAGTGTCTCACTCTAACTATAAAAACACACAAAATCTCCCAAAGCTGTATGTGGAATTTTGTGTGTGTAAAGTGTGAAAGTTGGTTTTTTGGGCTTTTTGTGGCTGTGTGAGGTTCCTGCTTGTTGCAGGGACCACTTTGGCTCTAGCACAGCTGCTTTTATATTGTGGGTGAGCCTGTTGTGTTGTGTTGTGTTGTGTTGTGTAGGTTCAAAAAGAGCAAAGAAGTGACATTGACTTGGCCACGCCCATCTGGCCAAAAAGCCACGCCCTCCCAGTCACCTTACCACCAAGCCACGCCCACTAATTAAGCCACGCCCACAGAACCAGTAGCAAAAAAATTTAGATTTCACCCCTGCTAAATACATAGATGTAGGATACAAGAAAGAGAGAATACCCCTAGGATGAAATTTCCCAAGTGACTCATTAATGAGGTTTGATACTTACTGAAGTATCTCAGAAGTGTCAAAAAGTAGGGAGTGAAGGCCTGGGATCCCAAACTTCATCTCTGGGATCCCAAACGTCATCTGTTCAAACATCCTCTTTTTAAACTTCATCTTTAAAAACACCCATTTTACAGAAGCCTCTGTTTTTCTGTCCACACCACTCTTGCTTCATTGTACCCTGTCTGCACAGAAGCATAAAACAGAAAACTGCAAAATGCTTTGCTAAACCAAAGCAAGAAATTATATTTAGCTCTGCAGGATGCGGTTAGAACAGTAGCTAGAAGCTTGTTGCAAGAAGACCCTTTGCTGGAAAAGTAAGGCAATGTGATATTTATTAGCTTGGGCTGGGAGGCAGGCAGTGGTCTAGTAGTATAGGTCATGCTAAAAATAGCTGAACAGCATCACCTGTACATGTGCTATTCCAACCTGAACACCATTACTTGTACACATGCTAATTTAATGATGATAAGAAATTTGTAGCCAATCCTTGTATTGCTGTTTTGAAATTTCTGCATCTGAAATTCAGAAATAAAGTGACAAATTTCCACTTTCCTTGACTCTGAATGATTGATTAATCTTCGTGCCTGATAAACAAACCCCAGATTGACTCTTAACCATCATCCTCACTTAGCGATTGTTGAAAGTCATGACAGACACCTCCCCCAGGTACTTACTACCCCGTTTTGAAATTATGGTTGCTATAGCACCCCTGCAGTCATTTGCCCTTACAGCTGACTGCACGGATGCTGTAGCAGCCTCTCCACCTCCACTCCCCACCCTCCGTATCCTTCCCTGCTGGTGCCCCACAGGCCTGAATCCTACTCACCTGTCATCCATCACCCATTTGCCTTTTAAAGATCTCCAAACCTCATGTTCGGCCGGAGGGCAGGCCATTCATCCTTGAACTATGTGGCTGCCTCCTGGAAGTGGCTGCCATTTTCAGCATGCCCAAAATTCCTCGTGGTCCTGCTGAAATGGCAGCCACTTCCAGGAGGCAGCCACACGGCCCAGGAATGAATTGCTGCATTCTGCTTCCCTAACGCAAGCTGCGCAGCACTGGAAAGCTCCAGAGTTTTCCTCAGTGCTGTGTAAGCCACTTTAAGGCAGAAAAAGTGACTGCTATTTTCAGCGTGGCCACTATTCCTTGCCTTTACCCAGTGGTGGAATTCAAATTTTTTTACTACTGGTTCTGTGGGTGTGGCTTGGTGGGCATGGTGTGGCTTGGTGGGTGTGGCTTGGTGGGCGTGGCAGGGGAAGGATACTGCAAAATCTCCATTCCCTCCCCACTCCTGGGGGAAGGATATTGCAAAATCTCCATTCCCACCTCACTCTGGGGCCAGCCAGAGGTGGTATTTGCCAGTTCTCCGAACTACTCAAAATTTCCTCTATTGGTTCTCCAGAATCTGTCAGAACCTGCCGAATTTCACCCCTGCCTTTACCCCAAAATGGCGTCTGCTTCTGGAAGAAGGGACGGACTGCTCTGCTCTACTTCCTCAAGGCAGTTTGCGCAGCACTGAGAAAATCACCAGAGCTGCAGAGAACTTCCATAGGTACATGCACAAATGGGGATAGGATGGAGGAGGCCCAAGCCCAATGGGAGGGTGAAAAGGCCAGAGGGGACCTAGTAGGGGGAAAGCAGGGAAGTGGAGACCAGGGTATCTCTGCAGGTGGGGGAAGCCTTGGGAGACCAGGTCAGTTGGACCTGGGCTTGTGCTCCCAGGGCCTCCCCCACAGAAGGCATCCTACGCTCTGCTTAATGACCCACACGTTAAAAACGACTGCATCAGGGAGTGGGTGGCGATCATCTTGCTTAATGACTATCAGCATTTGCAACTGTAATGGACAGACTCCATTATGGTGTGGGTTGAAGATTACCTATTCTGCCTGCAGATTTTTCCAATCCTTTCTGAATTGATAATCAGGTGGTTCCCCCTTCATTTGCAAAAAGAGCAACAAACACATTTATAATGGTTTCCCAACAACTCTCACACATTCTGAACATGTGTTAATTGGCATGCACTGATACACATTTGCCTAGTGATTTGCAAAATATTATTTAGATTAGGTTGTTACAGGATGGTCACAAGAAAAAATTGATTCTTGGAACTATTAACGGACTTATTGAGAAGCTTCAAAAGCCATTAGTTCATCAGAGGAAGACTTCACTATTGCAGGGCAAATTCTATGAATGGGGCATTTGAGCATCTCTACGAGAGAAGTTTGCCAGCAAAATTACATAGGTACATACGTATTTCAGTGCATATACATAGAATCAGAAGTTTCTATTAGTGGCAGATGCCCCATAATGATCAGGCAGACATCTGTTATTGATATGGGAGCTGAGGCCGCCATGGCTTCTTCAATCTGTCCTCTTACCAACTCTTACAATTTTCATACAGTGTTGTAAACATTATACCTAAACATTATGTTTAGGTATAAACGGTTTGTGGTTTGTAAACCATGATTTTGGCCTTAGCATCATGTGTAAACCAAGCATTAGAGCTTCCTAATCAAATCAAGATTAAAACACACCAGAGAATTTAATGCACTGTGTGAACTCAACCAATTATGCTCAACCAATTTTGTTATACAAAAAGTGAGAAGAGATGGTTGATGGAATTTAAGAAATATATATAGAGGGAAGTTGCCTGTAAAAATTCATGCCTAATGTCCTACTGGCAACTCTACACAAAGAGAACCTTATAGGTGTTAACATGTTCATAAGAAAATATTCCAGCAACGTCACATCAACCATCTACCTGCCCTGCCCCATCTCCTTATCCAGGCAGTCTCTACAAGAAACATACATTGCCTTCTTATATACACTCATTCATACTTTCCTCCTAATATTAGTTCTCAGTAGAGAACCACTACACTGTTTAGCCAATATATTTTTAGACCATTCTGTACAAATGGATAATAAAAAGCGCAGATACATACAATTAATACAGAACTCAGCTTCCCAAAAATAAATTTCATTTTTTAAAACAAGTACTGTACATTTCCAGGATTGATAATGGATAAACATGTTGTTGCTCAGAAGCTAGAGAAATGGCATTTCAAGATTTCGAAAGGGGGGGTGGGGGGTTTGGTTTGCACAATTTACATAGAATTTATCTTTCTTTAGTGATCATTTGATAACTTTAAACTTTCTGGATATACTGTATGCCGTTTTTCTGATAGTAATCGGATCAAAATTTCCATCATGTGGTTTCAACACAGTCACATTATCCTTGTCAAACATAAGCCTGAACGCTCATACCATGTATTAACATACTGTACAATATGGCCACTGGGAACAGGCACACCAGTTATTTCCAAGGCTCTGTCCATTTCTGCAAAATTCCCACCACTTTCCCTAGGAATGTTTTGCTGCTCCACAGTGCCTTTGCAGTAATACTCCCTGTTTGAAAGCCTGCTTCACAGGGTTTACAGTTTCTAGTATCTCAGCTGCTCAGTTCTACTTCACCCCTTTCTTCGGGAACAGTCGTATAAATACCTCATTCCTCTTAGACTTAGCCAGGGCTGCTTTGTTTGCTCTCCAAATTCACTAGAGAGCCCTGATGTTTTGAGAGGTATGCATTTCAGAATATCTCCAAGAATTGAGATTTTAGTCCTTTGTCCAGTTCATTTCCCAAGCAATATTTTAGCTTGGGATTCAGTCTTATTTTCTACCAGTGCATCCAGAGGCTTTTCCTGGAGAGCTGCCCCAAGCTGAGCTTGATAATAATCTTCTGTTCCATTTTGAGCCTGCAGCTTGGAAACAATCCTAGCAGTTTCTGGTGTGATTGAAAAATGTTTACGCTTTCCAGAGATATCAGGTGAGGCACTGCGTCTACTTGGACTTGTCTCCAACCGGCTACTGACTGCCTCTGAATTAGACAAAACAGCAGCCAGCAGGGGCAGACTGGAAACTTTGGGGATAATGGTACGAGGATGTTTTACTGGCATCCGGTTGAAGCGTCCCCTGGATTGCGGGTTGAGAGTAACTTCTGGATCAAGTATAAAGTCTTGCAGTTCTGTGTCATTTGTCCTGTTCAGCTCTGAATGGGAAGAAAAAAGAATCTGATAAAGAATGAGGAAAGGCAATTTGTTCCATGCATCACCCAGCAGACCATGAGTTTAAAGGCACATAGTGTTTTTCTAAAAGCAATGAAAGATTAGCTGGATTCTTTGAGGAAGCACTTTATTGTCCACCCTTCACACATTTTGACTGGTATAAGATAATACAGATCTCTTACAATCAGGGCAGCAGCAGGTTTTTTGCATATGCCACAAACTCTGTTATAGGTATTTCATAAAAGGACCAAATCCATCAACCATCTATGTTTGATAGCCTTTTTATTTTTTTATTGATGTATCTGCATCTCAGACTCATATATCATTTAATGCTATTTACTATCCTAAAATGTAAGAGACTAGCTGAACCTGCCCCAAAGTTCCATCCTCAACATCTTCCTTTACATAATAGTTAATCAGACACTTCTGGAAAACACGCAATGGTTTTACTTTGAAGAATGTCAGATAGAAAGAATCAGGACTATTAGAAAAGTTGCAGTATAGAACAGAGGTCTCCAATCTTTTGGACCTCAGGGACCACTAAATTCATAATTTTAAATCCCGCAGACCACTAATATGATCTGCCTAATGACCAGCTGGGTGGGCGTGGCTAGATGGGCATGTGACTGGGTGGGTATGGCCAAATCGATGTCACTCGTGTCGAGGGGCACCTCACCGGCCTCTACCTGCCCCTCCCCTCCCAGCCACTCCTTGCCTGCCCACCTGGGCTCCTTAGGACCCCAACAGGAAGCAGTTGTTGGTGCTAAGCAGCCACCATGAGAAAGAGTTGGCAAAACAGCTCAGTTCAGATTGGATCTGACCAAGGAGGAGGCTCAGCAGAAGCACCTCACTGAGGACTATGAGCGTAGGCTTTCCAAGCAGAAGGAAGACCTACAGGAGTGCAAGGCCAGGTACCGGCACCTGAAGGCTCAGCGGGCTGAGATAGTCAGCCAGTTCTAGGCCATGATGCAGTCCACTGGAACAAGGCCCTCTGGCTCTTCACCACCAGCGGCACTTCTCTCCAGACTTCACACAAAGGGAGACTGAAGCAGACCCTGAGTCAGAATTTCTGCCCCCCTCCGACCCGCACAAAAAGACCCTGAAGGGTGAGACTCTGCAACAACACAAACATTCATTGCACGTATCCAGCCCAGGGGCCGTAGTTTGAAGACCCCTGATTTAGTGCAATATATAAAATGAAAATAATTTTTCTGCGGACCACCAAAATTTTCTCATGGACCACCAGTGGTTCACAGACCACCAATTGGTGACCACTGGTATAGAAGATTTATTCAAGCTGATACACAAGAATCTGGTCAACTGAATTGTTGCCAGATAAAAATCAACAGAATTCAGGAAGGATTGGACTTCGATCACTTGTGGGAACACAAGGACTCTAAACTGATGATGCACTTAACTCTGCCTCCTAGCTCCACCTGCTTTTCTCCTACAAAGAATTTGGGGGGGCTATAGTTGGTGGAAACATGAAAATCCTTGGCCTTACCTACATAGAATTGTTTTAAATTAAACCAAATCAGCTTGCAACCAGGTATGTAAATATGATTATTTTCCATTTTGTACCTATACATGATTTTCATATAACATAGTTTAAATCTTTATAAATTTCAGCATTAAGATATTCCGTGCTGTGCATCCTTTAGGAGAATGCTGTCACTTTTCAAAACTGTCTTGGCCTGGGGAAGACAAAGTCATCCTAATTAACTCAGTTTAGATGGCATAATTAATTAGAATTTCAGAACTGCCTTATGCTGCCGTTTCTCATTCTGAAGAACATGGTATTTTAGATAATTAATCATTTGGGGTAGAATGAAGATTTCTCAACATTATATTTTTTTTAAAAAATGGTTTGCTATAGAAGAAAAATTACCTACGGGGTTGACAGTTTGCTCCATGGTGTCTTTCTGCTTGACCTCAGTGAAGGAACTGTCCTCACTTCCACAATCATCTTCACCCAAACATAGCTTGGAGGCAGAGCTCTGTTTGGAAAAAAAAATATTGCTATGAATCTGGTTGAGTTCCTCCACCAATTTTACCTAATTGCAGCAAGAAAGCTGTGTGAGAGTTTAGTAGGGTGATATATTTATTTTATTTATTTTATTAGTCATATTTCTATGCCGCCCACTCTCTGAGGACTCTGGGCGGCTTACACCAAAGACAGTATACTAATTAGCATATTGCACCCAACAATCTGGGTTCTTATTTTACCTACCTCGGAAGGATGGAAGGCTGAGTCAACCCTGAGGCAATGAGATTTGATCTGCTGATCCCCTGAACTAGCAGTCAGCTGAAGTAGCTGTAGTTCTGCACTCTAACCACTGCGCCACCTTGGCTCATTAGACATTTTTATTTTCTAAAGTAAATTCTGTGCTACTTTTTGAAAAAAAATTAGTGTTATAGGTTTTCTAAAGAGAAACATCCCTTGTATTTCAAATTTTTATTTTTATTTATGATAATAATTTTAACGGTACCCTGAAATATCAAAATAAAGATGTACTTTGAGAAAACAAAAATGGCAGACTATCCACTCAACCCTTTAGTTCTGCTAACACTGAGAATCTACAGTATATTTTAGAATTTAGAATAACAGAATTGGAAGGGACCTTGGAGGTCTTCTAGTCCAATGCCCTGCTCAGGCAGGAAACCCTGTACCATTTCAGACAACTGGTTGTCCAATCTCTTCTTAAAAACTTCCAGTGTTGGTGAATTCACAACTTCTGGAGGCAAGTTTTTCCCCTGGTTAATTGATCTGTCAGGAAATTTCTTCTTAGTTCTAGATTGCTTCACTTACATATTTGAATGTCATATTTGGTGTAATGGTTATGGGGTTAGATCAGGGACTTAGCCAAGGAAACTCATTCTTACTCCAACCTAGGTTACAGGATTATTGTCTGGGTAAAATGAAGTGCAATTCCTATATAGATTCCCTTTATTTCCTCTAACTATGATATTACTAATACTAATAACAACAGCTGATTATTATTATTCTTAAATTATGCAGCCTTTTATAGCCTCTTTGGAATATATCACAGAGGGCCACCTTAGAGAGACACGCATGGAATGGCTGGCTGTGTGCTTTAGGCAGAATGAAAAAAGTGGCAGTGTTTTAAAAAATATGTATATAGCCCTGCTCCATCTTATAAGAAACCCATGATGGCTCCCAATGAAAAATTAAAACAAGATAAATACCACGTTAAAACTATAAAAACCAATCACATTAAAAACAAAAAGTTGGTGCCAAGATATGCAATCACCTTATCCCAGTACTTGGGGAGAAAGCCAGATCTTCAGTGTTTTAGAGAAGGCTAAGAGGGCATGGGCCTCTTGAGCTTCAGGGGACAGAGTGTCCCATAGGACAGGGGCTGCCATAGAAAATGCATACTTTCTAGCTCCTATCAAATGACAAAATCTAAAGGAAGGGACTAGGAACATGCCCACCCTATCTGATCTGGTAGGATGGGTAAATGTTCTTAGGGAAAGGTGGCCCCTAAGTAAGGTGGCCCTATGTCATACAGGACTTTAAAGATGCTTTGAATTACTCCTGGAAAGAAACTGGAAGTCAGTACAGCTCAAGCAACAGAGGCAATGGTGAGTTGCCCCCAGTTCGGACCGGTTCGCAAGAACCGGTAGTAAAACCAGTGGGAGGCCCCGCCTACCACCCCTGATGTCGTCATTGGTGATCTGTGCATACGCAGAAGCATATTTTGTGGGCATGGCTTGATCGTCATGTGACAATTATTTAGGATTTAGCAGAGGTACTGGTCTACCAGGCTTTTAACTGCTTGCAGAGCTGTACTGATCTACTCATGTATTTTTGCAGGCACTGGTCTACCCGTTTATTTTGGCAGGCACTGATCTACTCATGTATTTTTGCAGGCACTGGTCTACCCATTTATTTTTGCAGGCACCAGTCTACTCATTTGTTTTCTTTTAACACTGATCAGCTGTAGGGCGGCCCTTTGAAGCCCCACGGCAAGAGTTTAAACAGTTTTTTTTCCTCTAGCCATCAGCTGAGACTCAGGAGGCAGCAATAGACTGGGGTGGGGCCAAATAAAAGGTAAGAATAACGCAGGGGGTGGGTGGGGAGGGCGGGGGGCCAGAACCGGTTCGGTTATGTCATATCATCACCGCTACCGGCTTGGGAGAACTGGGCTGAACCAGGAGGAACCCACCACTGGTGCAAACCCAGAGGCACCCATTACCATGCGTGCTGCTATGTTCTGGACCAGTTGAAGTTTCCATGTGGTCTTGAAGGGCAGTCCCATTAGGAGTGCATTGCAGTAATTCAAACAGGAGATGACCAAGGCATGGGTAATCATGTGCAAGACCTTCTGGTCCAGAAAGAGGTGCAATTGTCATACTGGACCAATCTGGGCAAAGAGCAGGAGCTGTGAGTCCAGGAGATCCCAAATTGCACACCAGCTCCGTCTGGGGGAGTGCCAGCCCGTCCAAAGTCAGATGAAATATCATCTGGACCCAGAGGACTAAAAGCCCATAGCCACCAAGGTTGGGTAGTTTGAATCCATTTTTCCATTTATCTCAGTCTATTGCTCAAAGAGGCTCATTTATTTCACTTAAGGCCAGGCCATCTCTGATTCCTACCTCTAAAGATGCATTGGAAAGTCTTTGATTGCTTGAAAGAACTTCATTAGTATTTGCCTGTTTCAAAGAGTTTTCACAGTCACAAAGTCCAGCTGAAGGCAGGTCATCCATCCCAAATATCTTTTCATAGTTCAGGATAAGAAATTCAACCAGCTGGGACTGGTATCCTGAATCCACCAGGCATGACATGGACACATCATTATTACAGGGAGGGCGGATCAGAGTAGGGCCAAAGATGATGCCCAGGTTGTTGGGGGACATCTTGTTCTCCTGATATCTTTCAGCCACCCTTGAAAAGAAAAATACAGGGTTAGAAAAGGTTAGAAAGTTTGGGCACAATAGTTTTTCATGAATGGAGAACATAATGGTGTGTAGATTCTAAACTGTGTTTCCAGCTGGTTTTGCAGTTGCCATGCCAGTCACTTACCAGAGATCTTATCCCAAAGTGTGTATCTGTATGTATGTATACATACACACATATACACATACATACATATACACATACAAACACACACACACTTTCTTACATACACATTAACTAATACTCATTTTACAACTTTACATCAATAATTGTGCAGGGGCAGAAATTATCAGAAATAAAATGTAGCAACATAAACATCAACCAATACAGTATCTTTGCAAATTGTCATCTTGAAGGAAGAATGTTTCCCCTATATAATAAATAAGGAACAATTCACTTCATCGTATCAGTGTGAAAACAACTGTGCTAACATATAGTTGTGGAGTCTCTTCTTTCCTCCTGGTTCTTGCTATGTATTTCAGCAATCCCGTCCTCTATTCTACAAACATCTTCTTCATACCAGGAGTTTATACCAGACTCTGAGAACTTTCACCAGGCTTTTGTGTGACTCCAGAATCAATTCTGTGTTCCCTTGCTATTATCTGCATTGGGCAGTTAAATCCATTAATTTCTACCTCTGCTGTAATGTATCCAAAATAACAAAAAAAAAATTGTTTTGTTTTGTTTTCAATTATGACTAGGTCATACCCTCAGAAAAGCTCATGTTTTGATGTGGTCTTCATCTTGTCCTGAATGATCATGTCATTTTTAGCTGTACTGTAACATCTTTTTCCATATTTCAATTCTCTGCAAGGGCAGTCTCAAAACATCAAAAATCTGTTAGGTTTTATCACTTTGGAGGAAAATTAGGTGATCGACAATAACTGGGAACAGACCCAAAGGTGCTTTTTCAAGAGACAACTGAAGTTTCTTGTTTTACTTTGAAGACATTTTGCTTCTCATCCAAGAACCTTCTTCAGAGCTGAAGAAGCTTCTTGGATGAGAAGCGAAACATCTTCAAAGAAAAACAAGAAAGTCCTGTTGCCTCTTGAAAAAGCACCTTTGGGACAACCATGACCTGGATGACTGAGAATCTCCATAGACAACTGGGAGCAGAGATGAGAGAGAGGCAGCATATGGACTGGCAAAAGGGACAGCAAATTTCATGCTAATTTAGTTTTCTGAAGACTCAAAGATGGGTGGATGTCACTGTAATTCAAAGCTCTTGCACACACAGAAACATCACCGTGTTTTCCTCTCACTCCTGAGATTTCTGTCTAACCCTGAAAATAGTTCTTTGATTGCACCTTTGCAGCAAGACAGGCAAATTGCTGGCTGCACACAATAGAATACACATTATCTTCTTGCAGCTCTTGGTTGTTTTGGGCTGGATAGAAACAGCATGTGCAGCCGGAAGGAAAATGGCTTCTAACTTTTCCCTCTGCTTTCTTGGTTCTGCACCTTCCAGAAAAATTGCTTCTTTCAAAAGACTGCCAAGGATCCATCATGGGTTGCGGCGTCCCAGTTTCAAAGCATTCTGTCCCAAAGGCAAGCCTACTGCCATCTCTATTGTCACTGACGACACTTCATACTCTCTCCCACCTTCTCCTCTTCTGCCGTGGCAAGTTGTCACAGGAGGAGGCAGAACATTCCAGAAGCATGCACACATACAGGGATACATAGTTGAAATATGATGTCCAAGTAATCAGCATTCTTCTTCCTTTGTGAATTCCAAATCTATTGCCAGCCTGAGTTGGAAACTCATACACAGGGAAATATCAACATCCAGGAAGCCTCTCTTCCTTGACATCTACACTGTCCCATTTCTGAAGGCTTTCTTCCCAAAGAAAGCATTCCATTTATGCAAGTCTACCCATTTGCTAACTTTCCTTTTTTACAAGGGAATTAAAGAAGGGGTGAAATCCAGCAGGTTCTGAGAGGTTCTGGAGAACCGATAGCAGACATTTTGAGTAGTTCGGAGAACCAGCAAATACCACCTCTGGCTGGCCCCAGAGTGGGGTGGGAATGGGGATTTTACAATATCCTTCCCCCAGAAGTGGGGAGGGAATGGGGTTTTTGCAGTATCCTTCCCCTGCCACGCCCACCAAGCCACATCCTGCCCACCAAGCCATGCCCACAGAACCGGTAGTAAAAAAATTGGATTTCATCACTGAATTAAAGTATAGTATTCTTCCAGTTCTTAGGCACAGACGTAGCCTTCATACAATTTGCACAATTAATTACGTTAATATTTTAATATCTCTCAAATATACTATCTAAACCTAGATAGCCAGTTTGGTCTAGCAGTTAAGGTACCAGGCTAGAAACCAGGAGACTGTGAGTTGTAGTTTCACTTTAGGCCTGAAAGCTGGCTGGTTGATTTTGGGCCAACCCTTCTCTCTCAGCCCACCTCACCTCACTGGGTGTTGTGGAAAATAGGAGGAGGAAGGAATATTAGTTATGTCCATTCCCTTAAGTTATTTATAAAATGTGGGATAAAAATATCTAAAGAAAAAATACCTGCTGCTTTACTATTTTCATTATTCTCAAAATATTTCTGACTTTCCTTTCTAATTTTTTTCCTGGACACTAACATAATATTTATTGCAGTCCCACTCTATGACATTTCATTATCCTTCTTTGCAGCAATGTATTATTAAATATCTAAAAGATTCTAGTTTCAATTTCATTGAAAATAATTCCATTGTTTTTATTCTTAATTCCATTCGCCATGCTAGAGGCTTCTTAAGCTGTTTTTCTCCACTTCCAAACCAACTTTATGTTTCTATCAAAACTGCATTGCATTTTGTGTTCCTCTTCTAATTTTAACCATTCCTTGCTCTGTTTGTTTTAAGCTACTTGTCTCCTGTGCAGAGACCAGCTAAAAATGAAACTGGCTTAAGAAATTGTTTTCCATTTCTTCAGTTTTGGAAATGATGCTGCCAGGTCTCCTGTCCTGTCCAGCCCTGATTGATAGATTCCCCTAGTTCTTTACTCTTCTCACCCGTGCTAGGAAAACAACCACTGGGCATTTTCTTTCTTTGGGTGGGTTTGAGGATGTGGATTTTCATTGATAGACATTTGTATCAGCCCCTTAGTTGATTTCCCTTTGTATTCAGAATCTTCCAGGGGTGGGTTGCTACTAGTTCGCACTGGATCGGGTGAACCGGTATCGGCGGGAGGCTCCGCCCACCCATCCGGACGCTTCTGCGTATGCACAGAAGCACTGCGCGCACACATGCACTAGCAAACCGGTAGCGACGGGATTTGGAACCTGCCCCTGGAACCTTCCCATTTAGCACATCCAGCTGTCGACCAGTGGGGAGGAAAAAGGAAAAGAGAAAGGAAAAGTGTATTTTTTATCATTCTTCCTATGACTCCAACTAAAGGGGAAACTGGCAGGACAAAAATGCAGTGTGTAGGTTTCAGCTCCAAGTGGGGAAAAAAGACACTGGAAACACGGAGACTGCTTGGAAAGATGGTTTAATGGTGGACAGGATCACATAGTTTGACTTCTTGAACAGAAAAAGGGCCGAGATACAGCGAGTCCCCAGGTTTTATGCTTTCTCTGGCTTTGAACTTCCTGGGGCCCAGAAAGAGTATCCTGATTGGTTGTCAGACTCCCAGGGGGTGGAGGTCTTAGCTAGCCTTGCTGGCTGATATAATCTTCCCAAGTGCCATGTGGTGAGTTTCTGTCCTCGATGGGTCCCATTGTGTTAGTTTCTGTTGCTATTGTGTTGCAGATGATGGTCCATTGACAAAGATTGAGTTTCTGCCTCTGGCCCATTGACAAAAAGGGGGGAGGCAGGAAGGTGGGAGCTGCTTTGTCTTTAAAACATGCTTCTCCATTTCTCATGCAAGGAAACATAATATTCTGCCTTTTTAATATTTCTTAAAATATTTCATTCTTCCAGGAAAGGGGTGGGTGCTAACTTTCTACAAGTGTTTCACCCATTTATGACAGCAAAGTCCCTTCAAAAGGAAGTGGATAGCCTAGCAGCCAAGAACAAAGGGCTTGGTGCAATGACTGACTAAAGAAGAGGAGGCAATACCACTACAATAGAAGATTAGGTGGAAATTGCCAATTAGAGGTTGAGAGTGAACTCATGCATTCTTATACTTGTAAAAGAGTTTAAATACTTTCTACGGGATGTCTTCCTTTTATTCTTACTTCTGCAGCAATCATGCTTAAGCATTTTTTTCACCCTTAATCTCTTTCACCTCATCATTCTATCAAATGTCCTTTTTCATACTTTCCATTAATGTAATTTCATATACTTCTGTACCACTTAAAATAATGTTTTTTGCTCTGTTCCAAGTCACTGCCCCATTCTCTTAACTTACATTCATTTTTTAAAAAGGGTATGATTAGAATTCACTGATAAAAGTTACAGTCAATTTGTTGGCAATAAAAATGATATCCAGATCAGATTAATTTAACAGAGCTAATTTGCCCTACATGACAAAAGCTGCATATTCAATGCTATTTCTTTCATTACCTGTACAGATGAGCAATAAGATGCCTTATAGTATTATAATTTGTTGCTGGTAATTTGCTCAGCAAATCCTTGGTGGTCTTGATGGGATCTGTCTCAGAATTATCCCCACTTTTCTGCAAATTTCTTGAGAAAGCCATGAAATCTTCATAAAGTTTAAACGGAAGCACAGGGCTGGAAAGCTGTAGCAAAAAAAATGCAAAATATGCATCATAATATTTTACTGGTGCAGATTTCTTGGGTTTAAATTTGATCACAAGTATTACTGGATCCTGCCATGTTATCCCAGTTTCAGAGAATAGTTCTATCTCAGTTTCTCACATCACATACATATTTCAAAACAAGTGTTCAAATTTTGAGAATGTCAGATAAACTGAGCTGTTTAACTTTAATGATCCCCATTAAGGAAGATGTGCCCATACCATGAGCTATCTCCTATGCAGCAATGGAATTCTGTGCATTTCAGAAAATTCTAGAATTTTACATCTTTCCTTTATGAACTCAGAACTCCTGTTACACACATGTACAAAATGAGGAGGAACAGGTAACTTTTACAAAGAAAATAATAATAATAAAAAAATCTAGACAGGTTACAGCATAACTGAGCTGAAATAAACAATATGAAATTTAACAGTGGGCTGAAATACAGTAAATATAATGAAAATCAACAGGGTGAAATGTAAAGTCTGCATGTGGGGAGAAGAAATGAAACATATAAGAATCAAAATGGGAGACCTAATTTGACGGTACTACCGGTAGTCCTTGACTTACAAATTGAACCCAAAATTTATGTTAAGTGAGAAATTTGTTAAGTGAGTTTAGCCCCATTTTACGACTTTTCTTGACACAGTTATTAAGTGAATCACTGCAGTTGTTAAGTTAGTAACATGGTTGTTAAGTGAATCTGGCTTCCCCATTGACTTTGCTTGTCAGAAGGTCATAAAAGGGGATTGCATGACCCCAAGACACTGCAACCATCATAAATATGAATCAGTTGCCAAACATCTGAATTTTGATCACGCGAGCATGGGGATGCTGCAAAGGTCATAATGTGAAAAACGGTCATTAAGTCACATTTTTCAGTGCTGTTGTAACTTTGAACAGTCACTAAACAAACTGTTATAAGTCGAGGAGTACCTGTACATGTCAAAAGAAACTGAATGTTCTAGTTAATCACCAGTAGAACATGAAACAACAGTATGATGCAGCTGCTAAAAAGTTGAATCAAATTTGAGGATATATTTTTGTGAGCTGCACAGATTTGTGCACTCAAATGGACAGCTATATAGATACTGTAAATGTATGAACATGTCCAGATCACAGGAGGTTATTACTTTACTCTGCCTTAGCCAGGTCCACATGGAATGAGTTCAGAGAATGGCTACCAAAATGGTAAGAAACCAAGTCCTATCCAAAATGGTTAAAGGAACAGAGTGTGTTTAGTCTGCAGAAGAGAACATTGAGGAGCGAATCCTAAGCAGTCATCTTACAGTGCAGTGAATGGACTTTGTTCTCTGGAGGCCAAGATCAGAACCTTATTTTTGAAAATATCTTGTAAAATGAGAATGGAAGTAGAAAGTAGTAAGTAGTTGCCAATGAAGATCCTTCTCTGATGCAAACCACATAAGAGATTGTGCTTTTAAAAAACCAAGGACAATAAGAATAGATGCAAAAATATAAGAGCACATCTGGAAAATAGTAGGCAAACTGCAATTTATATGATGTCTATAAGTCAATCAATCAGTCAATCAAATTAGCCATAGACCAGCATATACGAGTCTGTTAGATTGTGAAAGCTGGGGGCAATGCAAGATGTTTATTATAAGGGAAGGAATAACTGTGAGCTGTCTTTTAATATCAATGTGTTTCTGGAAAAATGTTCCTTGCGAACTCCCACAGCTAAAGAGACACATCTCAGAAAACCACTTTCAGCTGTAGGGAAATGGGGTGCTAAGGATGCTCTCCGTTTTCATTCCTTACCTCCTTAAGGAAATGTTTAAGGACTCCAGTGATGTCATGGGGTGAGTGTTCTGATAGCTCCACCAACCTTCGCCCATTCTCAAAGGCTTGGCACAATCTCTCCATGCGTGCTTTCGCCCCACTAATGCGGTATATTCCCTGCATTGAGGAGAGGCAAAGGGAGACCAAATCAGAGGAAGCCAGTTTGATGAACAACACATATAGATAGGTGCCCAAATGACAACCGGAACATCGATCTGATTCAGAAATGCTAAGATGCAGGTGGAGGAGAGACTGAAATGCTAGAACACCGAACTCTAGTTAATTTAGTATAGAAAATATACTTCTGCCAGCTCAGAAACCTGGAGATATATTTTGTTCAGTCTGAAATTCAGAGCTAACAGCAGGATGAAAAACCAGCATGTAACAATAACAATACATGTAAGGATCCTGAAATTACAATATATGTAAAATTCTGATCTATATGCAGACAAAGGTATAGTCAGACATGTTTGCTCCAGCTGTTAAACAGCTTGCCATTCTCATTTATGAAGAATTGTATGCTTCCACAGAAGTGGACTAATATAAAGCATGCATAGGTGACTTAATTAATTCCATCTTTGTATTAGGAATGGGAATGAAAATTTTGTTCCTGCTCTTACCTTGAAACAGGAATAAAACTTGGAATGTATGCATAGAAGAATGAGTTACCTGCACTCCCAAGGCACGAGTTTCTATCTCTGATGTACATTTCATCACAATAAATGGCACCTCCTCTGGGAAATCCCTTGGCACATCGCTGAAGTCAATTCCAAATAGTGATGCCCGGGCTGGCAGTTTTTGATGACCACAATTGATAAGAAGAGTCTCCAGACATTTTTTATGGCAGGTCAATAGGCACTGTGAAAAAAATCCCCAAAGTATTGGATCAGTCTTATCAAATAGCTATTTCTTAAACCACACTATTTTGAGCTTTTGTAATAGGCCACAATTTTGTGCACTTATGTAACACATTTTCTTGCTTTACTATATAGAAACATGAAGTCTATTCCTCCCAGTACTGAACTTAGATGTCTGAAGAGGTGGATCAAAAATTCAAATTGATGCTTAATGTCTGCTGAGTTTTTAGTACTTTCAATGAACACAGAACAAAAATTGGACCTCTTCAAAATTCTAGCCTACTTGTCTATTTTTCATAATGGGCCAAAGCAGTGGTGGGTTCCTCCCGGTTTGGTCCGGTTTCGCCGAGCCGGTAGCGGTGACGATATGATGTCACCGAACCGGTTCTCCCCCGCCCCACCCACCCACCCACCCACCCACATTATTCTTACCTTTTATTTGGTCCCACCCCCAATCTATTGCTGCCGCCTGAGTCCCAGCTGATGACTAGAGGGAAAAAAACTGTTTAAACTCTTGCCGTGGGGCTTCAAAGGGCCGTCGTACAGCTGATCAGTGTTAAAAGCAAACAAATGAGTCGGGTCGTAAGTGCGAGGACTGGCCGTAAGTGCGAGGACCTTCCAGAAATGACTCTGACCAGCTAGCCACGCCCATCTAGTCACATGACCTCCAAGCCACACCCACAAAATAAGCCACGCCCACAGAACCGGTAGTAAAAAAATTTAGAACCTACCCCTGGGCCAAAGATATGTTAACTAATTCAGATTATGTCATTCAGGAACATACTGATTGAAACTAAAGCTTCAAGTTCTTTCAGCTCTTACTATGCTTCAATAATATAAATATACTGTTTCAAAAATGTATTGTATCTTACAGAATTGAAAATTCTCCCAGATTACTTACTACTCTTGACAATCTCTGCAATCATCTTGAATGACCACAGCTTAAACACTGGATCTGCAGAGATGCTTGTCATAAGGCCAGAAATGAACAAACAACAAACCATGATCCAGACCTGATCCCAATTGGAATGGGACTGGCCTCCTTTATTCCTGCACCCACCAGGCACATTACAAGTCAGAACACATAGTGAATCTTTCCTATGCCTGTTATTCTTACATTTCCAAGATATGTAACTACTAGAGGGTTAATATGGGTTGGGGATATGATTTCATGCTTAGTGGATTGCATCTCACGGCAGGGTATTGAATTAATTTAATAGATTTAGATGTATACCTATTTATTTAAAAGTTAGCTTTCTTGTGCTTACCTCCATATATGTAAGTGTACCATTGAAGCCTAAATAACAATTACTTTCACACCTTTTTTTGACTACCAATGTTTCTGTCATATGTTGCACTGATGAGAGTGGAAGGCTGTTTGACCATTTTGCAGCAAAACAATTTCCTTTATGTTCACTTACTTCTTCACATTCGATACCATTGACCATGAAGTTCTCACACTCTCTGCATTTTGAAGGGCCCCTCAGTTTTCTCAGCCGATGAGTCTGAGCAGCACTTGACAGGATTATTTTTTTAAACTGATAATGGGACAAGCCATTTTCAGATGCAACATCATTTAGATCTGAAAAGAGGATGAGGTCCATTATTCTCTATTAGATGTGATCATTTCCCCCCTAAAGAACAATGAATATTTGTGGAAAAGCAACATGCAGATAAAAAAAACCCTGATGAAAAATGAATATGGAAATATTTAAGATATGCCCCAAACTCAAAGTCAGAGGAATTCCAAAATCACAAGACAGATTTTGAACGAGGAAGCACACAACACAATAAAGTAAATTGCAAATAGGTTCAACATAATATTAAAACAGATTAAATCAAATTAAAATATCTCACCTCCACTACTAAATAAGAGAAATCCTGCCCATGGTCAAATATGTGATGTGACTCCTTCCATTTTGTACTTGCTAGGTCAAATGTTAAAGTGCAAACCCCGACCACTACAACTTTCCTATTTTGTGATCTAAAAATGTAGCATACATACTCCAAGAAAAAATATTCTTTCAATAATTCAGCATCCCAAAGGGGAGGGGTTGTTTCATGGCTGAATCTCCCAGTGGATAAAATAAAATATTAGATATGGTAGAGAAGTGTTACATCCTACAATGTTCACAAGAGCAATCTCCAAATACAGTGTGAAAAATCACACAATTGAAAACCTGTCAAGCAACAGTAGTAATTAATTTGTTTAGATTTACAATTATATCAATTACTTTCATAGTGGATTGGGGAACCCCAGGGGAAAAAAAGGATAGGCAGTGATAGATGTGGGAGGAAATATTTCCTCACTGGTTCTTAGATGATGATATATTATGATTGATTAGAAATTCTAGCTAGAGGAAATAAAAGATCAAGCACTACACTGTGAATGACAGTTGATATCAGAGTATGAAGTCAATAATGGTTAGTGCCCAGAAGAAAAAGGAAAAGAAGATGATCTGAAAGTTGAAAGGTCAGAACGGACAACAGCGCGACATCTAGCATAGCCTGACCACAGGAAGAAGAGTGATAAAAAGGGAAGATCTTCTAGGGGAATAAAATTCCAGAGGTACTTTGACAGGAAAGTTTGAGGCAGTTGATTTCAAAAAGCTATAAGTCTTTAAAAGAGGGACAATGCAAAGCTCCAAGTAGTGTTTTTGGTAATTAAAAACATTCATGTGTTGTATAATTGTGTAAAGTGGGAACCCCAACATGAAGAATCCTTGGGATGTTTTCATTAAAAACCAAGAAAATACGGAGTATGCATTTGTAAATTGTGGAGCTCTTTAACTATAGTCCTTTTCTCATCTCTTTTTCCTTTCCCAGGCTATGAAGATTTCTGATCTTATTCTGTAAAACCATAGAATTCTTTTGCTTCTCACCATTGTCATAAGCTTGTATCAAATCTTTGTCTTCACAGTCTTCTGAAGAGGATACCGTTCCAGTGGATGAAGCTTTCAGCAACTTCTTGTGGCCTGAATATCAAATAAATAATCTTTTAAACAATCATGGAAGCTGCTTAAAATAACCCCAAACAGTTAAATTTGACAGCACACTGAGTTCTGCAAAATTAATTTGTTATGTGAAAAAACATAATGTACTTTCCTAAAGCTAGCATTCATGAAAGATTCATTTTTTTATTGTCAATATAATGCAACTCAAGAATCTCCAAACTGTGGAGACATGCCATTTTAACTATCAAATCAGTTCAGACATATTCAACTGTTTAAACTGACTGCCATTTTAAAAAATAAGTTTGAAAATAATAAGGACCAACTGTTGTCTGAGCCCCAGCCTTCCAGAATTGATAGGCAGGTCTGAAATTTTAAGACATTTATTGTAGATAATTTCTCGTAGGAGTGGGGATTCTGCAATACCACAATAGCTGTCACAGTGGCTAGGAACAGCTATTTAAAAAAAAAAAAAATCACCAAAGAGCAAACTGGTTTGGAAGCTTCCTGTCCCACCCCAATTTTCTATACCTCTGAAGCTATAACTTGTTTTATTTGCACAGATGGGCACATTTTCAAGCAACCACAAGAGGTAGTCCCCTGACCCTTTTTATTTTTTGAAATGTTCACAGGGCACATGAGGGACCTCAAAATAACTCTGATAATAAAGATGATGCAAAGGCTGCCCCTTTGTTTTGCAGTTGATCAGTTTCTAATTTCTTTTCTTTTTTTTAATTAAAACATTATTTTTAAAAGGTCAGGACCTTTCTACCGGTACCTTAATACCCACCACATCAGGAACACCAAGTTTATTATAATTTAATTTGCTGCAATCGACATATTTTGTTTTATCACCTGATAACAAGACTTACATCTGTGATTTGATTAGATATAGGCTATGGCTGGGTTCACACATCAGAGAAGCATACTCATAATAATCATGATTACAATAACAATCATGATACATAATGATACCTAGTACACAATTTCATAAAGTCCTAATTAAACAAACCACATTATGGCTGCGTGAATACAGCTGCCTAATAGTTCATTCACAGCCCTTCTCCAGCATTCTGGCATTACATTTCCAAAATTTGGTAGCAGCATCTCGGACCACCTGGGAGGATAAGAGGACTCACTAAAGTGGAAACTGGAGCAGGGTTTCAATTCCAGTGATTTAAAATCCTCACAAGCAGGTTGAAAAAAATCAGCTCTGCCACTTTCTGTGACATCATAAACTCTTCTGGTGACTTTGTATGAAGCCATCCATCCATTGGTGCAGCAACATTCCCACAAAAGTTCATAATTCTGATCTCTGACTCAGTACAATGCACAAATTCAGTCATTAGTATTGCAGAATTGAAATCAAAGCTCAGGTACAATTTCTGGTTTCTCCTCTCTTTCACTTTAGGATAGCTCCCCATCTCCCTCTAGTTTTCTGATTAGGTAAACAATTCATCTAGCTGCAACAAGAAGTGTGTCAGGTGTCCCTAGATCAGGAATCTCCAAACTTGGCGACTTTAAGACTTGTGGACTTCAACTCCCAGAATTCCCCAGCCAGCCATACTGTCAAGTTTGGGGACCCTTGCCCTAGCCTAGATCATTCACAGGGCTTCCAATACAGATCTGGTATATTCTTTCGCATTAATTTCATGATCTCAGGGCATTTAAAATGATACTGCCGCTATAATTTTTTTAAAAAAAATTCTTTTGTAGCATAAATTTGACTCAAGATGCCCAAAATGATTTTTGTCAGCTTTAATAGAGAAACCAAATTGCAATTTAAAATGTATTTTTAAAAAATAGGATTTATATATAGTCATTTAAAAGACAAATGCGTTCTATCTTCAAAATGTCCAATCTATTAAAAAGCAGTATCTGACGAAAACAAGGCTATAGATTAGGAAAAAATGCCACAGTCTGTTTGCAATGTAACTAATTTATAAAGTTTTCAGCTAATATTTTAATAAAGCTTCCCTGTCCCATCTCTTCTTTATGAACTTACTTAATTTTCTAGGCAAAAAGGGAATATATCTTCTCACCTGGGCTAGATGTGGGTGAATCCAAGCACTGGCATTCAGTGCTCCCTCCCAAGCTCTCTGTGTCACTGTAGAAAGATTGGTTGGCACCTGGCAATGGAAGGAAGATGGTTTTGTATATAACTAAAGCTTTCTAGTAAAATATGAGAAGTGGGTTGAGTGGCAAAATATTGGCTCTTGGAAAATGGAGAGGCCTTTGATAATGCAGAAATCTGATCTGAGCAAAAGCAATAACATTTGCCTCAGTTACTGAAGGAGTTGTGTGGGGTTATTCTTTTGTTGAGATGTGCTTGCTTTTCCCCCTTTCACTCTCCACTCAAGAACTACACATTAAAGTTACAGTCTTAAACTGCAAAGAAATCCAATCACGGATGGTAGCAAAGATACCCCCAATTTTGTAAAAAATCCTGCCTCCTGTGCTTGGAGTGATCATTAGAGTTCTCATTCCAAGCACAAATGACCAGGCTCAAATTAATCTACTTTAGTCAGATTATTCAAAGGTCTAGTTCTCTAAAGAAGGTTCAGTGCTGGGAAGGATGGAAGGAAAGAGAAGAAGAGAATGTCCATCAATAAGGTGGATAAACTCAGTTGCAGTGGTGATGGGTGCACCATTAGAAGACCTGATAAAGCAAGTTAGGGACACACTATGATGGAGAAATATATGTGGTCGTTAGGAGTCGACAATGATTTGATGGCACATCATTCAAGTACAGGTAGTCTTCGATTTACAACCACAACTGAGCCCAAAATTTCTGTTGTGAAGTGAGACATTGGTTAAGTGAGTTTAGCCCCATTTTACGACCTTTCTTGCTACAGTTGTTAAATGAATCGCTGCAGTTATTAAGTTAGTAACATGGTTGTTAAGTGAATCTGGCTTCCCCATTGACTTTGCTTGTCAGAATGTTGCAAAAGGTGATCACATGACCCTGGGACCCTGTAATTGTCCTAAATATGAGTCAGTTGCTGAGTGTCTAAATTTTGATCATGTGGCCATGGGGATGCCACAATGGTTGTTAAGTATGAAAAATTGTTGTGTCACTTTTTTTAGTGCCTTTGTAACTTTGAATGGTCACAAAATGAACTGTTGTAAATTGAGGACTACCTGCAGGGAAGTAATTTTTTGTAACCAGATCTAGACATCATATCTTGATCTAGCCAGACCATGGCAAGGATTATAAAATGACCCCTGAGAAGAAGGTAGAAGTGTATTGTAATGGAATTGACTGTACTTTGCTCACTGCTTGAGGAAGATGGCTTTCCAAAAGTGTCTTCTGATGAGTTGTTGAGGTCAGCAGCTGATGAATAAATTCGAGAACAAGGTGCAATATTTTTTCTTCTACCAGAAGAAGGTGACCTGAAAAAGCAAAGGCCCATCAACTACTATCAACTAGTAGTTGACTACTATTTCCCCAAAACACTAGTAGTAGTCAACTATTTCCCCAAAAAACAGTTACAGGTAATTGCTTATTAGTAGACATTTGGTTCCAAAAAAGTTTCACAAATGATTGTTGTCTTAAAAAACATTGCCACACCCTAGTACACACTTGTGTTAACAGTAATAGTTAATGCTACCTCCAAATTAAATTAAAAACTCAGCAAAAAGCTGAGAAATATTCTAAGTGCATTTTCCAAGAGGCAACTGGACATTCCAAGTACAGTAAGATACACAAATTATATGTTAAATTCCTCATTTGGATCCAGTATTTGCCTCATGCATTTTTTTTCTTTAATCCCACCAATCTTTGTTTTAAAACTGAATATTTTTCTTTCCCACACTTCAATATATGGTGTTACACAATCACTAATCATTTTGTTTAAAACAACATTCAACAAAACCAGAAACTTTATATAACAAAGAATAGTTAGATGCAGTACAAAGTGAATTTTCCTTCATCAAAATTGCTTTGTCTCTTTCTATTGGCATCCTGGAGGTCTATGCATGTGGTTGCTAGTTGTCAACCTGTCCTGATACCTCATAATAAATCAATAATCAGTTGTGACTATAGTGCAACATTCATGAAAGGAAGGAAGCCTCCTCCCTCAACAGCCATACTATTTTGATGCAAAATGGCATCCAGAGCCCCAGATGAAGCCCAAATGTTCTTTGTGCTTGTTTTATTTTAAACACAATACATTTACAAAGGAGGAATAATCATGCCTAGAGGCTTCTATGCACAGCTTTGACTATGTGTCTTAATGCTCACTCTACAGGGGGAATTATATGGAGGGGAAGGGAGTGGTGGGTTGAGAAAGAAGATGGTTCTGTGATAGTTATCTCAATGGGGCTGCACCAGAAGAGAGCACTAAAAGTAACTTACAGCCTGCCAGAGATTTGTGTACTGCAGCATTTCAAGAGAAGTTAATTTCAGGCAAAAAGCTTTCTTTTCTTCCTTCCTTTCCGATGGAATGAAATGTGCCTATCTTTAAATTAATCCCAGATGTCAGGAATTATGCAAAAGTAAATAAGCTCAACCTTTTCATTAAATGGATGATTGTAAATTTTATTGAGGGGAATGTGTGAGGGGGGTTGTTGGTTTGTTTTATTTCCAATGAAATAGTTTTAAATGTCTGTCATTTGATATGTAAATTAAAATGCAATGCTTCAAATTAAGTGGCAAATTATTTTTGTCTCAAATGAATAAATGGTTTTATCTGTAGGTATCATACAAATTCACTATAAGTATCACGGCATCCTAAAACTTGAGAATCACTAGTGTAGTGTGCATGGTTATGTTAAGAATTTATAGTCGTTTTTAATATTACATGGTTTTGATCCTTCAAAGTATTGCACTGGATTCATGCTGGCTTAAGAGGCAGGTAATCTGGGAAGAATGCTTTTTTTTTTTCCCCTTCAAGGTTTTATTACTGGGACAGCATTTCTTAGGGATTGGCCTTCCTGTCTCTTATTGAGACTGGCACTAATTAAGAACTTTCCTTGCAAGTTGTTTACAAAGCCCCTTGAATAACCTGCCACCTCCAGTGCCATCCCCTTTTCCCACAATGCTGGCCTTCTCTCATCCTAAGAGTGATTTATGTAACTTTATCTTGCTGATTCTGCTACTGTAAAACACAAAGGACAGTGAACAAAGTCAGAACAATTCATCATTATTCCAGCAGCATTTTCCCTTGTCAAAACAAGGGATGCTGGTGAGGAAAGGCTCAAGTGCAATTCTTCCACTGTCATGTCCTGTGACCGTAGAAACAGACAGTTAGTAGTTCTTCCCAATGACTTTTTCCCCAAAGTTGCACCCTTATTCCATGAATTCATCTATTGATGAATCATTTTTCAGAGCCCAATTATACAAACTCTCTCTCTCCCCCCCACCAACTATGGCATTACCATCTACCAAACTTTCCTTCAAACATCCAATTCTTCCTAGATCCTTTGAAAGGACAATAACTACTCCAATTTGCATTCTTTGTCCAGATAATTTGTTTTACTATAAATATAATTTTCCCTCTAGAAAAATATCTGAAGTTCAAATTATACTATATAGCACAGAGGACTCAAATCAAACATCTATCTTTCAGGTTTAACTTTAGTACAAGCCTATAATAATCCCACAGAGGTGTTTCATCCTTCAAATAGGACACTTGCTCAGAAAAAAAAATCAAACATGTACTCTGTAGTGCTGTGGGTCTCTCAAAAATTATAGTTAAGAAAAAGAATATTTGGCTCATTAGAAACAGGTGGGATAGATTTGGACTCTTCTGATTTTCAAAAGATTTTTTGGAGAATTCCTTGTGGAGGAAAAACAGAATAACAGAGTTGGGAGGGACCTTGGAGGTCTTCTAGTCCAACCTCCTGCTCAAGCAGGAAACCTTATACCATTCCAGACAAATTGTTCAATCTCTTCTTAAAAACCTCCAGTATTGGAGCACCCACAACTTCTGGAGGCAAATCATTCCACTGATTAACAGTTCTACTATCAGGAAAGTTGTCCTTGATTCTAAGTTGGTTCTCTCCTTGATTAGTTTCCATCCATTGCTTCTTGTTTTGTCTTCAATGCTTGTTATTCATTCCCTTGCTTTCCATTTTGTGATGGTTGGAGGAGAGATTTATAACTTCAGGACCTTCTCTCTCTCTCTCTTTCTCCCTCTTTCCTCAGCATGCTGTTCACAATTCCTGTCTCTAGGTATTATTTAAAATGTCTTTTCTGCCCCCTGCTGGAAATAGTGCCACATCTTGGTGACCTAGCACTTTTTAAGAATTTACCATAGCTCTTATTTAGATGGAAGCTTTACATTAGTGCATCAGTTTTCAGTCGGACAGTTGAGCTCACCAATGGGATCCAGTATAGTGTAAGGGTGTGAGGGAGTGGCAAACCATTATGGCATTATCACCACATGAATATATGATCAAGACTTTAAGAAGCTTCTTCTAAAATGTGTATGTTGATCAAAGAACTGGGTCTAAAAAGGTTAAGTACAAGAAATAATTGATGCTATTACTAATATAACTTGGAAGACTTTTTGTTTCTTGTCTCCTGAAAACACTTAATCTGAACTTTCAATATGCCAGTCACTGATAGCGATTACCATCAAAGGAATCCTGCAATATGCATGTTTCGTATGCTAAAACTATAGGCATTTGGGATGGGAAGCCTGTAGCTCTTGGACGTTGTGGAACCTGTAATTTCTAGCATTCTTCACAACTGGCTACAGAGCTACAGTATAATTCATCAACATCTGGAGAGACACATGTTTTCCCATGGCTGCAAATCTTCAGGGCCATGTAATAAGAAATTTTGATCAGGCTGATAAGAGGATGGGAATGTCCATGGATGGATGGGTCAGAGGACAGAAGAAAAAGGGCTATGCTTCCTTACCTGTGCCCTGCTGGTACAAATTCTTCAAATCTGTACACCTCAATGGGAAGCTCTTTTTTTGGCAGTTTTTGAATAAATTCCAGATATTTTTCGCCAATCTTGTAGGGCTTGCAGAATTCAGTCAAGTTCTGGTATCCTACAGGGATCCGTTCTGCTTGAGCTTGTTGGAGCTTGAACATCCTCAAGGACACCTGAAGATATAAAATACAAAATGAATACATTTCCTTGAATTAAGAATTATTGTTCAAATTTGTAGAACCTGTTACAATATTTCCCTACTTACCTTTCAGTAGTAAGAGTCTGAAAATTCAACCAGTCTCCGTTATGAGTGCATTAAATTGACTTAAATAGGCTATTCTGTTCACCCCTATTTAATAACTGTTGAAGTGAGAGAACCTTCCCATTTCTCACCCTGTCTTTGAAAAATGAAGTTGGGAAGTGAAGGAGGAAATCAAGAGAAACATCTAATCATAAATCATAAAAACTTACCCTCACCAGCATTTCATCTCCTTGATACATTAGCTTGCGAATGTGAGAGATAATTCTCTCTCTGACTTTTTTCAGTTCAAGACGACGATTGTTGGATTCAGAAACACAGCTTCTATATGTGACTTCTGATTCCTGAACCTGTGTGCATGAAATAAAAACTGATGAAAGCAATGGAAAAGCTGACTTGGTTATACCAATAGTTGAAGTAATTCACAGTGGGGATGTCAGTAAGAACTGATATGGATGCTAGTTATGCACCCAAAATAAGAAGCTTCTATATTGTATAATTTATTTTAGGGAATCAACTGAAAAACCATTTGTGCAATTCATTCTGACATAAAATAAAATTTGCAGTATTTGTGGCAGTTTTCCTGCCTTTGAGCACTTTCTGTCTTATTTCTGAATAGAAAACACTACAATAGGACTAATCCACTCTGGCATTAAGAATCCCTGTCCTCCGTTTCTTCAAAGATTTGATGATTCACCTCAGTTGTTTCCAGGACTTAGTTACTAGTCTCCATTATCATTACATTCTAATAGCTTCTTCAAGATCATCATAGTGCTTGTTCCTTCAGTCTAAACCACAGGACCAGGGTCAGCAGAATCATATTCTTCCTCAGTGCAGACAAGCATTATATTCCTTACCTGAAGGGGAACAATTTTAGCTCCTAGGAACAAATTTGGATTTGGGAATCACCTGCTAGAAAGTCATTTCCATAACCACCATACTGCTCTTTTCAATCTGTTCATTTCCTCACCATATTCCTCCAGTTTGGGACTATGGAATTGCAGCAAATATATTGAGCCAGAGTCCAAATCTTCTCACTGATGGACAGCTGAGCAATTGTTCCTTGAACAATTAACCCCAGTGTCTGCAACTATTGCTAAATCATCATCTCCTTCTGTTATAAATATAAATCTGTCCCATATGCTTTGGAATTAACAGGCCAAGATAAGATGCAAGATACTGAAAATTAACTTCTAAAGCTTTACTGGTGGCAACAAAGACTGTTACATGTTCCTACATCCACCTCCAATTCAACTATAATTGACTCTTCTCAGGGCACTTATAGAATTAAAGGGTTGGAAGAGACCTGGGAGATCTAGTCCAACCCCCTTGCCATGGGCAGGAATCCTCACAAGCAAATGGCTATTTAGCATTTTTTTAAAACTTCAAATCATGGAGGACTCATGACTCCAAGGAAGCAGGCCGTTCCACTGTTTAATAGCTTTCTCCATCAAGAAATTCTTCTTTATTTCAAGTTTGGATCTTCTTCTGTAAGGCTTCCACCCAATGCTACTTTTGCTACCCATGGGTGCTATGGAGAATAAATTCACACCCACTTCCTGGGACAGACCTTCAGGTTTTTGGAGACTGCAACCATCTCTCCACTAGACTTCTCTTCTTTAAGAAAAACATACCCAGTTCCTTCAATCACTCTTCATTGGATTTAATCTCCAAGCCACATACTATTCTCATTGTTGTTCTCTACATTCTTTTTAGTCTCTCTCCTTCTTATATTGTAATAACTAGAACTGGACCCAGTATTCTCAGTAGGGTTTGACCAGTGCAGCACAAAATGGAACTATCACTTATGATTGTGACAGCATGCCTCTGTGGACGCAGTCCAAGATTACATTGGCTCTCCTGGCAGCTGCAGTACACTGCTGATTGATGCTTAATCTGGATCTACCAGGACACTCAGATCTTTCTCACAAATGTTACAGGTAATCTCCTCTTTTCTGACCACTTGTTCAGCAACCATTCAAAGTTGCAATAGCATTGAACATATGGACCGCTCCTTCAAGGTCCAGTTGTCCAGCCATCACAGATTGCAATTTGGGTGCTTTACAGCCAGATAACACTTGCGACATTCCATGGTCACATGATCACCATTTGCAATCTTCTTTGACAACTTCTCCCAGGCCAAATCAATGCGGTAGCTGGGAGGGAAGATCACAAGTTGCTCTAGTAATTCCCTCCCCCCTCTAACAGCAACATTTTTTTTCAGTTGCATGAAATCTGCTCAACTTTCATTCTGTGCTATACAAGACCTGCACAGTATTCTTAAAGACAATTAACATAGTTGTGATGGGCTGTATGCTAAAATAAAGCCAGGTCATGACACACACTTGAAAGTAAATCAGGAAGCCTGTAATTGCAGAGTATGTCTGGCAAGAACAAAGAATGTTTATCTACAGGAAATATGCATGTGTAAATCTTGTAACAATTCTGGGTAGAATTAGAAAACTGATAAAAATAACAACAGTTAGACAACTTGCAGGCCTCAGCTAAAAATTAGGAATACAGATGGCCTACAGCCAATTAAATGTGTATTAGATAACTCCTGGGGCATTCATTAGCCAAGGTTTAGGAATAGGGACAGCTAGAGACCAATAGAACAAATTGTAGAATTATTACTAAAATGTTTATTAGATGATATTTCTTATTATCTCACATTGTCCCGCCTTCTCTTTTAGTGAAAATGTATAATGTTTTCTTAATCCTTTGTTCTAGCTTCTTGGCATTTTGGCCAGGAGCCCTTTTCCTTGGAGTACTCCAATAAAAAGCAATCAGAAAACTTGCATCTCGTGTCTGGCATCCATCATTGGCTTCGGCACCAGGCTCAGACCCAAATTGGGGAAAACAATCGGGGGGGGAATATTTTGTGTGATTTAATGAGCCATTACTAATACATATGAAATATTCTCTATGAGTTAGTAATCTTCTCAGATGCTTTGGGGGAAATTCAATGATCAATCTCCTCATATCATGCCATAATCAACAGTGTCTTTTCTTCTTCTCCTAAGCCACTTCCTTTTGTCACCATTCATGATCTTGCCAAGATCTGCTTCCTTGGCAGCCTTGACAACTTGATTTGTTCCACATTACACCTCATTCAGGGAACTATCACTGGTTTTTAAGCCACACAAGCTTATTGTCCCTCCATTAGAGAAAAGTCTAGAATCCAGAGTTTGGTTCCTTCCAACTTTCCTTTGATCACATACATTCCCCCCAGCATCCAAAAAAACATCGACAAGAAAAATGTTCACCACAAAGTAAATGATGTGCTAGCTAAACAAACAAACAAACAGCTTGATCTCACATAATGTGGATTTCATTGTTTTCTACTGGATTAAAAGCAGCATGTTCTCTTTCTTGAAAGTATACCTTGTGAGCAATTCAGTGCTTTGTCTACCATTTATTTATTTAACTATTCTAATAGCTCATCCAACGCAAAAGACTCTGAGCAGGTTACAACACATTCACATTATTAAAACAACAATAAAAAGAAAATCAATGTTGCTAAAAACAACTGTAATTGGAAAGTAATCCTAAAATGGGTGCCAATAAAACTTGAGCTGGGGTTTGAAAACCCAGTAAAATAAAAACTGATTTAAAAAGGAGCTTTACAGACCTCTAGGAATGAAGAGAAATGTTTGCTATCAAACGATTAGAAAGGGCTCTATAGAGGCCCAAAATCCATTTGAATTCCCAAACGACCATTCACAATTACAAATTAAGTGGCCAGTTCCTTTCACATCAATTTTAACAGGTTCATAAGTGGGGAGAAACTTCAGTGAAGGAGGCAAAATACTGCTCTGATAGTATCTATGGAGATTTTCAGTCATCCAGGTCATGGTTGTCTCAAAGGTTTTAATTTAAATTAAATCCCTTCGGTTTTAATTTGTAATTGGTTTTAATCCGGGTTGTTTTAAATGGATAGCCAAAATTATTTAATGTTTTTTAAACTGCTTTTAAATTTTATATGTTATGTTTTACCATGGCTGTTCTCCGCCCTGAGTCCTGTTGGAGAAGGGCGGTATACAAAATAAATAAATAAATAAATAAATAAATAAATAAATAAATAAATAAATAAATAAATAAATAAATAAATAAATAAATAAAGGTGCTTTTTCAAAACACAACTGGACTATGTTTTTTCCTTTAAGAAGAAGATATTTCACTTCTCATCCAAGAGGTTTCATCTGTTCTGAACCGATGAAACCTCCTGGATGAGAAGCAAAACATCTTCTTCCTCAATGAAAAAACAGTCCAGTTGCCTTTTGAAAAAGCACCTTTCAGACTACTGGCCTGACAAAACTGTGGCAGGTCAAATGACTTGAGCAGTATCTGCGGAAGTCAAGAATCAGAACAATTAATGGTATGACTCTTTATGTTCAGGAGCTGTCATTTTTTATTTCATCTCAAAAATCACTTCTGATGAGTTAACAAACTTTTACTACATGCCACTTTCCCATATCTGTATCTGTGGCATCCAAATAAATATGTGGTCAGCAATAGCAAAAGTCCATAGCAAGCTTACAAAAAGCTGTAATTCATTTCTGTGTCTTCCCCATACATTTCTATATCATTTCCTTACTGTCACGAGGACCTGAATTCTCAGACTCAACAGAGACCAGATTGAAGAGGCAGAGCATTTAACTTTTAAGTCCCAAGACCAATACCTTTAACTGAGCCTCATCTCGATAACGCCGCCGTTTTTCCAATTGCTTGTTTCCACTACTTGTGATAGCCTGGAACTCTTCTTCTGCTTTGGCACTTTGCACTTTGGCTTTTTCCAAATCCTCACAGCGCTGGAGGTAATGGAGGCGAGATTTGCGCATCGAAGACAAGGAATCATTCTGCAATTAGAGGAGGCAAACTGTTGTTGGGCAGTAGCTCTACTGTAGGCTTTGTTTTTTTAATGGCTTTTTGAATGTATTTGTATTATTTGTATTACAGGTAGTCTTACAGCAGTTCATTTAGTGACCATTCAAAGTTACAACGCCACTGAAAAAAGTGACTTGATTGTTTTTCACATTTACGACCATTGCAGCATACCCATGGTTCCCATCCAGTTTTATGTCACATGGCCATCTGCAGCTGGCATGAATTTCTCCAAAAAAACCCAAAGGGTAGTCTTTCCCAGCACTCAGTAATAATGTTAATAATAAATGCCCTAAGTTATTCTATTTTTTGAGGCTTAAAGAATAATTCTTGTAGCACAGATCTGGCCTGCGGGGCCACCCTGGACACAGTGGGGGACTGGCCCACGGTACCTCTGCCAGGGAAAACGGAGTTCGGGGGGGGGGTGTCACACGTGAGACATGAGTGACATCAAGCTGGCCACGCCCACCACAGCCTTCTGATAACCCTGATGCAGCCCTCAATGAAATCGAGTTTGAAGCCCCTTTTGCAGCAAGATCCAATCTGGTTCTGGTGACCGACCCAGATTGGATCCTGCAACAATATCCTGGGACACGTACATTCGCCTTCATTAGTCACTAATTTTTGTAGCCCAACCTTCCAAATGCAGCTTAAAAATAATCACAATCCTGAATTGCTTTTAAAATGATGATGGAGCACCAGATTTTGCTATGTTGTCAGAGATGGAGGTTGTTTATCTATCTCTGTACTTACTTTCAAAGCATTACAGAATCTTAACCGGCTATGATACATGTGCTCGCACAGGACGACAACTGAATATTTTGACATCTAGAAATCACAAGCGACTTCTTTGCAAGGTACAGATAATCCTTGATTTACGACAGTTCATTTAGTGACTGTTCAAAATTACAACAGCACGAAAAAAGTGACTTATGACTGTTTTTCACTCATGACCATTGCAGCATCTCCATAGTCACGTGATCAGAATTCAAATGCTTGGCAACTGACTCATATTTATGACTGTTACACGATCACCTTTTGAGACAAGCAAAGTCAATGGGAAGCCAGATTCACTTAACAATTGTATTACTAACTTAACCACTGCAGTGATTCACTTAACAACTGTGACAAGAAAGGTCATAAAATGGGGCAAAACTCACTTAAGAAATGCCTCACTTATCAACAGAAATTTGGGGCTCAATTATGGTCATAAGTCAAGGACTACCTGTATTCTAAGTGGACTTCAAAATACAAATGAGTATGTTAAAAAAGAGTAGTTTCTTCATTTTGGGCGTCATACCTGATTCAGCCTCCCAGTGTCAATCTATGCTTGATCCTTTTTCATTTTTAAAATCATGTTTAATATTTTTAGAAACCGTAAGTTTGCAGATCTTGACAAACCCATACAAGAGATTTGCATTTTAGCAAACAAAAAACTAAAACAAGTATCTAAATCAACTTTTGTCAATCATCTAAGTTTCTTTACATCAGCTGTCATAACCTAGATATGAACATTGATGTAAAAGCCATATTCTAACCTAGATTTGGAAAGTTCATTTTGGTATCAGCCACTTACACTTGCCATGGATGGATAAGTAGAATTTGGTAGTTTATCATCTATGTGTTTTCACCTATACCTTCATAAGTAGAAGGAAAAGTAAATTTTATTTATGAAGTAATGTTCCTGAGAACAGACTCCTTGGAAAAATAATAGAGCACTTTCTTTCAATGTGAAGATCTGGTCTACTCAGGTTATAAGAAATATGATTTAGCATGCAAGACATTGATGTGATCCTTTGTCCATTCTTCTCCATCCTGGTACTTTCTAGGATAAAAACTCCCAGTCTCCCTAAAGAAGGTTTTCCTAATCTATCTCCCAACCTGAACTTCCAGTGTCCAGAAATTTATTTAAAATCCTGAATGTATAGCAGCATTTATAGCACTTTCACACCTTTGGCCCATGCATATCCGTCAAAAGACCAACCCTGATTGCAACCTCATCCCCTCATCTGCTCTTACCATCCTTTTCTGTTCTTTCTGCCACTGATCTTTGAATTCCTTCCGCCATTTCTCAATTTCATTCCTTTTGGCCCAAAGAGGCTACAACAGAAAGAGGACCGTTAGGGGTAATAGCAGGAGAGAATGTAGTATTAAGCAGGAATTAAAAAACAAAACAAAACACCACCATATGCTGAATTAACATGGGTGCTTGAAGAAAATTGATCAAACCAATGCCCTCAGTTTTAACATTACATTTTTATTTCCCAGCCCCATCTTCTTCAAATGCAGTTGTTCCAGCCACAATCTCTTTAGGAGCAAGATTCTAGTCTCATAGACTCAAGGGGCATTTGAAATTGTTGCTCTTGCATAGGGGTGCTTTTATCTAAATCAGAAAAATGATGTACCTCATAATATTCTTTCATATGCAATGTTCCAGCTGTTTCAATGGCTACGTTCCCTGCCTTTATGTCATGCTCCATGACCATGGTATAGAGGCCCTGGAGAGGCATACCATTCTGGGGAGACAAAAGTATCGATTAACATGCTAGAACAGTCACGTTCTAGCTGACAGGAGGTAGTCATTCCCAGGCTCTCTGTCAGATCCAGCATTCAAAGTAATAACACACATCCCTTTTCATTTTTTATAGTATAGTGCTTTCATTCTACACTCAATGCCATTGCCACAGTACCAGGCTTCACACCTGGGATTAGTATAGATTAGAATTCATATAGAAGATAAGAACGAAGACACACACACACACACACACACACACACACACACACCAGCTACTTCTCACTGCAGTACAAAGGTGAAAGGAACATGTACACATTCTCAATGGTTTAAACTTGAGGCTTTTGATCCTTGGCATGAGTCTTGGGTAATGTTGTGGTCTGCCAGCAGCCTGCAGAACTGGCAGCAGAGCGATGAGGCTGAGGAAGAACATAGGCCAGTCCTGGAGGCTGGGGAAGGCCCGGATGAGGGCTCTGCATCAGAGGCAGAGATGGGGCCAAGGCCATCGGGGAGTGAGGTGCGGACTCCAGAGCCTCCAGAGACTGATAGGAGTGAGGCAGAGGAACAGGAGGAGCCTGTTCCTAATGCATGCATGAGAAGAGCTGCCAGAAGGCAAGAGCAGCTCAAGCAAAGAGGACAACTCGGGAGTAGGGCCAAGAGATGATTGGCCCCTCCCATAAGGCTTAAAACAGGCCAGCAATGGCGTTTGGGCTTTGTTGGAAAACAACGTTGGTAGCTTCGTCTTCTTCGTCTACGTCTTGTATTTATTTTTGTATCTGTGACTTCTGAACGTTTGCCTAGAAAGGCCTTTAGCAGTTTGCCTAATTGGACCAAGATTTGCGATAGGACTGAGGAATTTGTGTTGGGAGGAATTTGCTTTAATTTAGTTGAATGACGCTGGGAATGAAGTAATTCTCAGCTGTTCGAATAAAGTTTGTTTGTTTTTTCACTGACTTGATTTTCCTACTACTTACTTGGGCCTGGGTCACAAGAGGTAGTTGAGGCATGTTTCCATAGCAGTCTTTTGTTAGCCTGGGAAACTCACTAGGCCAGAGTTCTCCAACTTTTCTGGCTTTGCGGACTGGTGAGAGGGAGGAGAGTGGATGGTTCTGCGTGAGCGGCAGGCAAGCACACATGTGCGCACAGATCCATTTGCACAAGCGGTGCGCATGCATACCCGCCATTCATGCAAATAGAGTGTGTGTGCATGCACTCTCCCACTGCTTCGGGCAGTCCAGTTTTGAACAGCTCATGGTTCAGTAGAGAGCCATGGCCTGGGCATTGGGGACCCCTGCATTAGACTCAGTGCTTATGCATAAAACATAGCTTATTCTGATATCTTAATATGTGGAACAAGAATATCTTGATTAAAATTTCTGTGTATCACTAACACTGGTGCTTCCAAGAGATTGAATTTCTTTTGTTAAGACTACCAACCACATAACAATGGTTGACAGCAACTGCCATATAATGAAGTAAACCTGACAGTATGAAGTTTTATGAAACCTGGACCACTTCCAAACTACCCACTAACCAAATGTTTGTAAAGTCGAGGAGTATTGATCTCTTTGGGAAACTGTGATAGAACATGGTTGAATGTTACTTAGCTTTCTTAGTTTCATGAATTAAACTCTTACTGTTAAATGTAAATAATACTTAAAACATCATTGGTACAAGGATTTTGCTTTATCACGAGCACATACATTTATTTAAAATATTTCATCCAATGTTTTGGTCACATGTTGTCTTTTTATGAGGGTAAAGTGCATTTTGCCCCAACAACTACAATGGGACATTTTAATGCATGCTATTTCAGTGGTGGGTTGCCCCCGGTTCAGACCGGTTCTATAGAACCAGTAGTATAACCAGTGGGAGGCTCCGCCCACCGACCCGACATCATCAGAACACTTCTGCGCATGCAGAAGCTTCTGCACATGAGCAGAATAGCGTGGCCCTGTTGCGGTAGTAAAGGTAAGTAGAACCCACCCCTGTGCTATTTCTATATAAATGTTGCCTATGCTTCTGTGATTAGGGATAAATTCATTATTAAGATTGTTATTAAAGTGGAGCCTGAAAATGAGATGTCTACATTCCTGCCCATAAATATAAAGGATGATTTAAAAAGAAAATGTTTGTGTTTGCGTACAAACTCTATGACATTTGCACGAAAGTAACTTGATATGGATTGCAAAATGAACACACAGAAGACAAAACCTGGAACCATTACCTGAGAAAAAATGATATTTCTTCCAGCTTCGGCTATCTTCAGAATGTTCTTTGCAAATTCAATTTCTGCAAATAACCAACACATGAAGGGATTGAATCTCCATCAGAAATCCATGATAAGAGCAGGAAGCTTATTTCTGCTGAGCTGGATAAAACCTCAAAATTTTGGAAATCTTTGTGGCTAAGTTTGTAAGTAGTGCACCCACTCTAATGCAAAATTCTGCTTTCTTAATCTCATGATGGCCTGGGGGACAGTCCCATTACTGAAGAAATCTGGAAGTATATTATCTGAATAGGTAATCTATGAGGGGAAGAATGACGGGGTCAAAGTCATCTGCCAAGTTTCTATAAAGCATAGATGTTGACAAAAAAAATATACTTACCATAAGTAATACGTTTGTCTATCCAGTTCAAGAGCTCCTTGATGTATTTGCACCACATTTTGGCATACCTTAGGGCTGCTTCTACACCACCTTCACATTTGATCAGCATCTCATCAGCTTCTTCAACTGAGAAAATTAACAGGTTGATTTTAGAACACAGCCAATGAAATCAGTATTTTCATTAACAAAGGGCTGGCCTATTAACAGTTTCAGAATTTCTTATTGCCCAAACAGAAAACCTGTGCCCTTCTAGCTGTTGCTGAACTATAACTTGCAAATCTCTCACCATTACATATATTGGCTGAAGCTGTTTACTGCAGTTCAGCAGTCTCTGGAAGGCCAAAGATCTCCCAATCTGTGTAAGTTTCTTGTGTCAGGGATATTCAAGACAAACATATTTGAATCCTAGACATGAACGCAGAACTACTCTGGGTAGATTCACACACTGAAGCAAGCCTTCATATGGTTTACATGATTTAGCATCTGTGAACACATTCGTTATGGTTTGTAAACTGGTTTATGTCTTAATACACTGTGTAAACCCAGACAATGCTTTTATGGAAAACTGTAAGCCTTCTGGGGCTAACTGTAAGCTTTCTATAGCAACCTTTCTCTGCCCTCATTTTCCTCAGAGACTCATTACTTCCCCTTTCCATCTTTGTAATTTCTTCTATTTTACATGGTCAATGTGACAATACACCTCCATCCTTTTCCACTGCTTGATCTTGCTTTCCTCTCCATCAATCCTTTTATTTCTAGAAGCCTTGTTATCTTCTGCACAGGCCTCCTGATCTGTATAAATTATAACTGCCATCAATTCACCGCTCCAAAATACAGTTTCTTCCTGCCTTTCAATCTGGTTTTCTAGCTGAAAAATCTTGTCTGAACCTAATATGTGACTGAAACAGAGACAATTCATAATGAAAGCCTCCTTTGCAAACACTCTTCTTGGCCCTGATCAGATGTTCTAATTTGGTCCCAAACTTGGTGCTTTTTGGAGATATATAAGACTACACTTTTAGTAACCACAGAAAAAAACAGAATTATCCTAATGTAAATCATTTATTTACAAATCACATTCACAAAAGCTGCCCAACTCATAACAACTCTGGACGAGCAGGCTGCCATTTTGTAGTAGGCTATTGGTAAAAATAGTATACAGCTTTATTTTTTAAATGACAATCAAGATACTTTATAATTTCTTTGACAACATCTTTAGTCATCAAACTAAAACCTTTATAACTTGCTGCTGATCAGACTAAAGCTTCGATTACTCCAGTCTCTAGCTTTCCAAAATAGTTAGTCAATATGTGACCTGGAATCCAAATGTAGGATTTGAGGGCAATGGACTGTAACACTTTTATTCCACCCTTCATTGCAAAGTACTAGCAAAAACCAATACATGGTTTTTGAAATGAAATGAAATCATGGAAATCAAAATTCATGCCAAATATTTCAATTAAATTCTTCCATAGATACCTGACATATTTCCTGGATCTGCTGCTTCCAAATTTCTTTCATATTTACAGAAAAGTTCATCTGTCTGCAAAATAAAAATATGTTGATTTTTTTATAGCGAGAAAGGTCCCAAATGAAACACACTTTCGATAGACGATATGACTGAGTATGTATTAATTAGATAAATAAATAAAATGATATCAAATTAGTCACATAAATCTCCCATTTTATATTTTAGGCATTTTATGGAATTCTGGATAATAACTAATTTTTCCTGCTTAATTAATCATATTCCCAAAGTTTGAATATATGAGCGAGTCATGTTATTACAGGCCAAATGCCAACTCAGTATATCAATATGAAAACACTATTCCAGATGTGCAATTTATAAATTATTCTGCTTCTCTTTCCGACCAACTTGGATGATGTTTTTAAAATATCTGACCCAATCTTGATCAGTCATTGATAGAATTCCAGGGAGAAGATTTTTGTATCCTAGGTGGAGGGTGAGAAATACTTAACTTTTGTGACTTATTAGTCCGAAAGCATTTTATGGGCTTTTAAAGTTAAAAAAAAGCAAATCAACATATTTTAAATAAAATGAATCTGTATGTACTAGCCACCAATGAGGATGATACATTTTGAAGTACCCCATGTTATCAGCCTTCCCATTTGACAGTCCTTCTATGCATTTTGTTCATTGTCTGAAAATATGCTTAACGTATTTGCTTGGTCCATGCACTTGGAAATCCACAGATGCTTGGATTGCATTCAGCCAATCACTGCTCAGTCTGAGCTAGCTAACGGCTGAGCAGAAAATGATGACCAACTAGAGCTCTTTTTGTTTTATGGTTGACTACAGGTAGTCCTCGACTTACGACCACAATTGAGCCCAAAATTTCTGTTGCTAAGTAAGACATTTGTTAAGTGAGTTTTGCCCATTTCACAACTTTTCTTGCCACAGATGTTAAGCGAATCACTGCAGTTGATAAATTAGTAATCTGGTTGTTAAATGAATCTGGCTTCCCTATTGACTTTGCTTGTCAGAATGTCACAAAAGATGATCATGTGCTCCTGGGACACTGCAACTGTCATAAATATGAATTAGTTGTCAAGCATCTGAATGTAAATCACATGACCAAAGGGAAGCTGCAATGGTCATAAGTGTGAAAAATGGTCATAAATCACTTTTTTTCAGTTGTAATTTTGAACGATCACTAAATGAACTGTTACAAGTTGAGGACTACCTGTACTCACAAGCACAGGAATGAACTCACTGGACCAGGGGTGTCAAACTTGGCAGCCCATGGGCCGGATGCGTCACACGCAGGCCACGCCCATCCCAGCTCTGTGAATGGGAAAAATGTTGCAAAATGTCATGTGACGGCAACTTGACGCAGCAAGTATGACACCCTGTGCACCTGTGCACTAGACTAATTCAAAAGCAATTTGAAAAAAAAGAGGGAAAGTGTATCTGACCATTTCTAATTCTACAAATAAGAAAGCTACTGAGGTTACATATGTGTTCCACCCCTTAGGTACTGGTAGAAAAAAAAGAAAGGAAGTCATATGATCATTCATAATTTAGGATCTGAATCTTTTCTGATTGCTAGCAAAATCAAAACATCATGATATAAATGAGAAAGAAAGAAAGAAAGAAAGAAAGAAAGAAAGAAAGAAAGAAAGAAGGAAAAGAGAAAGAGAGGGAGGGAAGGAGGGAGGGAGGAAGGAAAAACAGAGAGAGATAGACATGCAAAAATACTATGCAGTGCCCAACTTTTCTATCTTCTATCAACTAAGGACTCCCAAGAGCAGTTGAATACTTCCAGATTTCATCACTTCAATACATAAATACATGTGACACAGTCCTATTAGCATATTGTTAATATTATTAGTCAGAATTAAGATAACTTTTATTTCTACCTGTACTATTTCAGGCTGTGGGTTGGAAGATTCATTCCTGTTGTCATCAGCATCATCACTAAACATTTCAATTGCCCTAGAAATTGGAAAAAATCAATAGGACAAATTACTTAAAAGGCAAAATGCACTGTTCTTCATTAGTACAAAACAGCACTGAATAGCTCATACCATTGTGCAAAGCTGGGAGACAGAATTGAGCCCTAATATAGGACAGCGAGTCCTTCTCTACTTATTATTATATTTATTATCATCTAGGATTCTTTCCATCTCAATTCACCTCAGCCACAGCACCATATATGTTACCGTTGAGGCTTTTCTGTAGGACATCGTGTTTTGCAATGGATAGCGAGCCTCTGAACATATATTGACACAACTCATTCCAGTTCAGGTAACTCTTTGCTTGTGGGAATTAGGTTTAGCTTGAGCAGTTTGGTTTGGACTTTCATTTTCTTTTTCCAGCTTGTCTTAGGGATGTAGTCCTGATGGTGGTTGTCAGCATTTCAGTGTGTTTGGGGAACACGGTTTGTTCCAGTTGGTTCTTCAGGTTATCTAGCAACGTTGGTATTTATTTAATCTGAGGTGAGCATTCATGATCATTCTCCTCCTCCTCCTCCGCCTCAACTATGACATAGATGATGCTAATCAGTTATCATTCTTGGCAGCCTTAGAAGCAGCATTTTCTAAGGGCTTTCCATAGAGACCCAAGAAAACATAAGGCATACAATTGTACCACAAACCAGAATAATACAGAATCTGAACCAACTCAAAGCAGAGGACAGAACCTAAAGCTATCATTATCCTCCCAGCAGAAAAAAGCCACACTACAGGTATCCTGGACAAAACACAATGTATACAAAAAGCCGTATATACGAATTACTGGAGGACAAAGAAACCTATATTCCATTAACAACCAATCCCATACAGAAACTAGACAACCTGATCAAGATAACTCTGAACAACCTAATCATGAAAGGCCAAATCACAAAAGAAGAACAGTGGCAGATGAATAGCAGTGGACTCCTTTAGCCTGCTTTTATGGGTGCCAAAAACAAGACCGATATCTCTTCATGCAATCGTATCATTATCAGGGACCCCAACATACAACATTACTAAAGAAATGACAAAAAAGCTTGGACATCTTACAGAGGGGAGTAAATATTCTATCAACTCCCCACTACTGTACCTACAGAGAATCAAAGGCCTAATAACATAATAATTATATAATAACATAAGATCATGGTTTTATGGTTCAATGTCAGAGCACTCTTTATATCCATAAACCTGGAACTATTGAAAAATTTATGGCAGCAGTACTACACACACACACACACACCACCTAACCAAATACACTAAGATCCAACTACTTAAAATGATAAGACCTCACCAACCTCTGCCTCACTATCTATTTTCAGTTTCCTGGACAAATATACCAGCAAATGAACACCAGTGTGATTACCATTCTTAGGATATACAACAGTAGCTGTATGAATCTGGTATATGGATGACACTTTTGTTATAATAAAAAGACAGGAACAATTAGAGAAGACACGTTAAAAAATCAACATCTTCTTCAATGGAATAACATTCATAATGGAAGAAGAAAACAACACGCTACCCTTTCCAAGTATTCTTATCAGCAGAGGAAACGGCAGCAAACAAAAGTCTATTGTAAAACTACTCATACCAACCAAGTGCTCCACTACAAAACTAACAACCTAACCTCCCACAAGAGGAGCTGTATAAGAACATTATTCAGACGAGCACAAACACAATCCAGAACACCAGAAAAAGGAAACATACTGTCTATACAACATCTTCCAACAAAATGGATATCCATGCAACTTTTTAAAAAGTTCCTGACTACTCAACTCACTACAGTACATCAACACGCTATGAAAAATATGTCACTACCATACATCAAAAACATCTCAAAAATGATCAGTTATAACCACATGGCATCACCGTAGCTTACAAATCAACTAAAACCCTCCAAAACATCTTAAGTAAACCAAACATCCAGTAGCCAAAGAAGAAAAACAGGAGGCATCTACAACATATCCCTGATCTCCGTGCTTTCCGCCGTGCCCTCAAAACCCTGATGTTCCAACAAGCGGGGCTAAACATATGAACATGTGAATGTTTTTAAAATGTTACCTAATTTTAGGTTCTATTTAATTGGGCCAAACTATGTTATAATAATAATTTTAATTAGCAATTTTATGATGTTTGTGTATCTATATTTTTCTTGACTGTATACCGCCTTGAGTCCTATGGGAGAAAGGCGGTATAGAAATATAATAAATAAATAAACAAACAAACAAACAAACAAACAAACAAACAAACATGCAGTGTAAGGGCCATAAAAGTCACTACATAGGACAAACAGGCCTAAGACTAGCAGTGTACACCCATGAACACCAACTCGCAGCCAGAAGACACAATGAAGACTTCTTAATTTCACAACATATGGACAGACTTAACCATAGTTTCATTTGGAAAACTATAAGCTGAATTCAAAAATTCAAAAAAAAAACCCCAAGCTGAATTCAAAAATTCAAGGTAATTCTTTGAAGCTTGGCATTCAGGCAAATCAGCCATTAATAGACACATAGGGACAAACAACATTTACACAGCATTCAAAAGTGTTAATAATAATACAACCAATAAAAAAAGCTAACCCCCCCCCAAAGATCAGAATACCTTTTTTTGTCAGCAATCAATACCCAGATAAGCAGAGATTAACATCAGGATTAACACCAGACAAACAAACAAGCAGTAAACAGCAGCCTAATCAAGGAACTAGTTTGAGTTCCTCAAACTCTCAAACCAGACAGCCAGTTTGGTGTAGTGGTTAAGAGCTCAGGCTAGAAATTGGAAGACTGTGAGTTCTAGTCCTACTTTAGGCACAAAGCCACTTGTATGACTTTGGGCCAGTCACTTCGTCTCGAGCATAGGAAGGAGGCAATGGCAAATCACTTCTGAAAAACCATGCCATTCTGCAAGAATCAGACACAATTCAATGGCAGTAAGAAAAATAACAAATCTTAAGAATGCAATAAGCTCAAAGCTGTATCCAGAAGGTTTACAGCACTTTCTCATTGCCTTTTCTTTGATTGGAGCAAGCAAAGCAGGGATGAAATGCTACCGGTTCGGGCCGGTTTGCCTGAACCGGTAGTAAAAAATGCTACCAGAGTAGTGGATCAACATTTCTGGAGGGGAGTGAGGTTTTTACTGTGTACCTAATGTGTGCATTTTTATTTTTAGTGGGCACCTAATATGCACCTGCACAGCTGTAAATAAACATATGATTTATTTCAAACCTGCAGAACTGGACAAATATGCATTCATTTACCTTAAAAGTAATAAAACAGAAAATGTCTTATATCATCATCCACTCTTCCAAATGAAATTATATGACAATGGCTTACATTTGTTCTAACTATAGATTTACATGCAAATTTTGGGGGAAGGTTGTTGAGAAGGTGGTTGCGCAGCAGCTCCAGAGGTTTCTGGATGAAACTGATTATCTCAACCCCTACCAATCAAGATTCAGGCCTGGATTTGGGACAGAAATGGCATTGGTAGCACTTTTGGATGATCTCTGATGGGAGGGGATGGGGCTAGTGCATCCATCCTTGCTCTACTTGACCTCTCTGCAACTTTCAATACCATCGACCATGGCATTCTCCTGGAGCGGCTTTGGGGAATGGGAGTGGGAGGCCTTGTGCTAACTTGCTTCACTTCCTTCCTCTGCGGCTGCTCTCAATCACTGTTGATAGGAGGGGAGAGATCCAGCCCTCGCCCACTGTTTTACGGGGTTCCACAGGCCTCGGTATTCTCTCTGCTTCTGTTCAACATTTATATGGATGAGATCATCCGTCACCATAGACTGAGGTATCACCAATATGCTGATGATACTGTTGTGACCTAGGCTTCCTGAGTCATTAAAACACACAAGTAGTCCCAAAAACCTCTTTTATTGCAACAGCTATGAATTACGTTCATTCACAGTTGAGTCCCAATTAGTTGCAAAAAGTCCTGTGGGAGAAGTCCTTTGGGATAATCACCAACCTTTATCTCCCTTGACAAGCTGCCAAAGACCTATTTGGCAAAGCCACACGGAGTCCAGAATCAAACAGAGATGCCAACTGGGAACAGAATTAACAACATCGCTTTCCTGCAAAGGGCCCACGTGCCTTTGCTCCTCTTTTAAGCCTTATGGGAGGAGCCAATCATCTCCAGGCCTTACTCCCGAGTCGTCCTTTTTGTTTTAACTGTTCTTGCCTTCTGGCAGCTCTGCACATGTGTGCACTAGGAACAGGCTTCTCCTGTACCTCTGCCTCTCTGATATCCGACTCTGGAGGCTCTGGAGTCTGCACATAACTCCCAGATGGCCCTGGCGGCCTGGCCCCATTTCTGTCTCCAACACAGAGCCCTTGTCTGAACCTTCCCCAGCCCCCCGGACTGATCCATGTTCCTCCCCAGCCTCCTCACTGTCTGACTCTGCTGCCAGCTCCGCAGGCTGCTGGCGGACCACAACAGATACTCAGTTATATGTCTCAGCTCCTGGTGAGTTAAGTGATGCCATGTCCTCCCTCTTGCAGTGCCTAGAGGCTGTTAGGGGCTGGATGGGAAGCAAGAGGTTGAAACTAAATCCTTGCAAGACCGAATGGCTCTGGGTTTGGGGTTTGTTGGCTCAGGGAGAATTGCCACCTTTGGTCTTGGATGGGGTGGCACTACCCCAAACAGACCCTGTGCATAATCTAGGGGTTTTCCTGGACTCACGACTCCTGCTCAAAGAGCAGGTGGCAGTTGTGGCCAGGGGGGCCTTTGCGCAACTGCGGGTTGTGTGCCAGTTACGTCCTTTCCTGGACCAACAGTCCCTACTCACAGTCACTCATGCCCTAGTCACTTCTCATCTTGACTATTGCAATGCGCTTTACATGGGGCTGGGGAACCCAGAGTGGGATGGAACCCATTAAATGGCTCGTGTGATCTGCTGTCGCTGGGGCGGGGGGTGGGAGGTAGGGGGTGATTTTGTTATATTGTACTATATTAATTTATTTGATTCTTTTTGTTAGTTTTCATTGTTTTAAATGTGGTTTTATATTCTGAAAGCTGCCTTGAGTTGCCATGGGCGAATAGGCGGCAATATAAATTCAATAAACAAATAAATAAATAAATAAATTCAATACATACATACATACATACATACATACATACATACATACATACAATACATGGTCTTTCAGTAAGAAATTGCCATTCATTGGTGTCTACAAAATAAAATCAGGCTTTTCCAACTAGCTGTTGATCTAGGCTGTGTGATGATAATGGCAACTGGAGTCCTAATATCTATACATCACAGCTTAGGGAAGGACACATTAGACTGGTGACATCTATAGAATAATAGGCCACAAGCAAAGATTATGAGTAACTCTTACAAACTCTGTCCCAGTGGAGAGCAGATCGGGGTGAAAAGGACTATGATCTAACATATTGTACAACCTTTCATTCTCATGAAAACTACAGTAGTACTTACAGTACTACTGTACTGTAGTTTGTTTGTTCCTCTGTCCAAAACAAACAATACAGGAATTCAAAATGCTAGGCAGGTGTATGCATGCCCCAAAGAAGTATATAACAATAGTAACAACAACAAAAAGTATGCCACCAACTCAAATGACTTTAATTTATTAGTATACTTAAAATCAAGTTTGGGATTCAATATCAGACTTTTTTCAACTGAAGGTAACAGACTTCTCTGCAAAGAGTCATGTCCTAACGCTCAGAGTATGTGTGTGAGTCTTGATGCAACCTTCAGATTGAAACACTTCTTGAGGTCAAGGAAACAAGTATCATTTCCTTGCAGAAGCCAGTCCCAATAGTAAATAACTATTAGAAAGTGCTTCAGCCCACCTCTACTAAATCATGAATTGCCAGACATTTAAATTATGCTTAACAGTTTGCTCTTTACATAAATTTTAGTTTATTTACATCAGAAGAATGGCAGCAGAATAGTTCAATGGTATAAAATATTTTGTTCCTTAAACATTGGACGTGCAATATAGCACCAAGCACCTCTAACATCACCTTCAATTCCAACATTTCTGTCTCTGTATCCTTGAAAAATATATTCTGTGTATGTAAATTCAGAAAATTATGGTGGTGTCAGTTCTACAGCACAATCCTAATCTGTAGTGCTTGATTTTCTAGTAGCCGCTACCCACAGAGATGAGTGTTGACTCATGGCCTGGATTTTTCAGGTTACAAGAACTTATCTTCCCACCATCACATACCACATTCACAACAGTATTAAGAAATGTCTTTAGTGCATGCTGAGGACAACAAAGACACAAAATACGCACGCATTTCCAATTGAAATTTCAAGGGCATCCAAACTTCGGAAAATCTCACTGTAGCGTTTTTTGTTTTCAGTTCCTTTTACTTGGCTGTTCAGATCTGAAAAAACAAATAAGAATTTTTTTTTTTAAATTCAGCAAGTTCAAGCAATAGGTTATTTAGCACAGTATATGGATTTCCACTGATGCAATGGAACTTCCTGTTACTCAGCTCTCCTTCCTGCTGCATTCCTTCAAACACCCTAAACCAATTTCAAAATGTCACCCACATGCTCCAGAACAGATTTGTGGAGTATGCAGCATGCAGGGTTCGGAAGGAGAGGAAATTCAAACTACTGGCAAATGTTATGACACCAGGGGATGGATGCAAGAAGATTCTCAAGGTGGATGGATGCAAGAAGATGGCTTAATCATACATCAAATACCATGGACATGGTTGCCATGAAAAACTGCACTAAGGCCTCACTTTCTTTTTAAACAAAAAGTTGTTGAAATTGATTTGAAAGCTTAATATATGGTTGTCCTCCAAACCCTACTAATGGGCTTAGTGAAAAATCCAATTGGAAATAAAGATGGAAACCATATTTACTGTACATAGCTACTTGTACAATCAACTCTATTCTGACTGTTCCACTCAATCAGAATAGAGCTGGAAGGGACTTTGGAGATCTTTTAGTCCAACCTCTTGCTGGAGCAGGAGACCCTATACCATTTCAGATAGATAGCTGTCCAGTCTTTTCTTAAAAACTCTACTCAGAATAAAGAAGACCAGTGTGAAAGAAGGTGGTATAAAAGAAGGCCCTGGCTAGGAGTGGCACATGGTATGGCACATGGTGCAGTGGGGCCAGCTGAGAGCAGCGAGCAGGCGGGCAGCCAAATTAGCAGAGATGGAAGAAACATAGCTGGATTGGGGAAGTGGAGGTAATCCCTCACTTTCCAAGAATGGCCTGATCCAGGTTGATCCTTGCCTAATGACTGAATGGGATTTGTTCAATGATAGCAACTGGGATTGCTGGAACTGCTGTTACTAATTTGAGTATGACATTGATATGACATTTCTGTTAATGACTGTGTTGCTCAGCAATGAAGTTGCCAATCCCAATTAGGATTGTTAAACCAGGATTACCTGTACTCCAGAGTAATATGATTCTATAATAAGTAATACTTGTACTATTAGTACACAGTAATACTACAATGGATAGGGAGGAGCCACATCTGACTCAATCCTACAAAGAATGGATAGTTCTGGATGTTAGGGCCACCTAGATGTAGGGATATTCCATCTTTTGGACCTTGGATGGGGTAGCACTTACCCACTCAAGAATGGTGTGCAATCTAGAATCTTTTTGGACTCACAGCACCTGCTTGGTAGACAGGTAGCAATTATGATGAGGAAGACTTTTGCATAATTTCATTTGGTGCACCAACTGCACCCTTTCTTAGATTGGGAAGCCCTTCAGACAATTACTCGTGATCAGTTCAATTACTGCAATGGACTCGACTTGGAACTGCCTTTTGAAGACCATCCAGAACCTCCACCTAATCTAGAATGCAGGGGTGGAGGCAGCGATAAACATAACTCAGAATGCCCACGTGACATCTTGACTTCATGAGCTGTACTGGTTGCCAGTTTGCTTCTGGGTAAGATTCAAGGTGCTGGTTATGACCTATTTCCTGTAGTATACACCCAACCAGTTGGTTCCAACAGAGTGGGGCTCTCTGGATTGGTTAAGCAATGCCACCTACAGTATCTGGACCCTGGAAACATGCCTTCTCTATCACAGTGTCTGCCCTATGGAATGTGTTTCCCCCTGAGATCTGGGTACCTACCCTGAAGGCATTCTGGATGACCTTAAAGACTTGATTCTTCTCTCAGGCATTGGTTGAGAGGCTCCCAGACTTCAATCACCCCAGGCTAGGGTGGTTGGAAACTCTTGTTGGTATTTGACATGTTTGTGTTGTTGACTAGATTTTTGGTATGTTGTTAACATTATGTGTTCTTTTTTATTTATAATGTTGTTTGCTTTCATGCTGTGAGCCAGCCAGAATCAACTGGAGTCAGGAGACTATAATAATATCTGCAAGAAATACCACTTGCCTGCAAGCAAGAACTGGTGAGACCACAAAATAGACAAAGTAATAGAAAATGAAGAAGCTAAAGTGCTCTGGGACTTTAAAATTCAAACAGATAAGTATCTTTTCTTATCTTTGACAAGAAGAGCTAAAAAAAATGTCTGGATAATGGACATTGCAATACCTGAGATAGCAGAAGAGAAGAAAAAAAAACTAGAGAAAATCAGAAAATATATGGTTCTACAAACAATAGAGTGACTGTGGTAAAAGAAAACAAAGATAGTGCCAATAGCAATAGGTAGCCTTGAGTGCAATCCCAAAACATCTGGAGCACCACTTAAACACCATTAACATTGATAAAGTTGCCATCAGTCAATTGTAAAAGGCAGTGGAACAGCTTACATCCTGCAATGTTACCTTTAATATTATTGTTACAACATCTGCCCATCCCAAGGCATTGGGAAGGACTCGATAGGTGGACAAAAAAAGCCAAAACTAGGCTAAACATCTGGCTGACTGTATGACCAACCATAATAATCCAAAAATATCAACTGATATTCAGACTACTTTTGAATTTGCACGTGCACAACATTTGTACCATACCAGAGTAAGCTTTGACAGATGACTAAACCTGCCAATCTAACCAGCTATCAAAACTAAGCTTGCCTCCCAGCCCCTCCCATGTTAAGGAGAATGATGAATTGATGTCTTCCACCTCTTAATGACATTTGGTGGAAGGAAAGAGGCACAAAATTGGGGGAAATGATCCATCCGTCTTTATCCTTAATGAGCCATATAAAATAAGGACAGAAATAGTTGCTGGTACTATGCCTGTGGCAGGATAAGTCTCACCACTGAGAACAGGATATTTTGTGCTGTTGGCTGGTTGACAAATTTTTAACTTGATCATGAGGAACAACCTGTAATGTCACCAAATTCAGTCCTCTGAACTGAATGCTTATGCAACTCTAAAAATAAGTTTTCATAAAAGAAAAAAAATAACCTGAATATAAAGTTATAAAATAGTCTTCATTGCTTAATACTGTTAATAAACTATCTAATTAACGTACAACCAATGGACATACTGACTAGAAATTCTGGAAGCTGAAGCCCAATGCCAAGATGGAGAAGGGACTACAAATGAGGAAACATGAATGCTGAAGTTTAGAAATATAAAATTTAAGAGAATAGCCACACATTTATAACTTGTAAGATGTGAGAAGACAAAGGCAGATAAGGTAGGCCTGGTGGGGCTCAGCATTCAGCCTGGTAAGGTCATAAAACAACTGCTTTAAAAATGTCCTGTGTTTTAGAAAGAAGCCTACAGGTCAAAAGCCCGCAATTGCTTCTCTTTAAATGATGTAGATCGTTACAATAGAACTTCCCCTGGTAACTATAAATAGATATTTTTCTTAAGGTTGATACAGCAAAAGATAAAGATTGATGTTAATAACATACGGTAATATTTCCCCACATGCAGCAGATTTTAGAGGGAATGAGATATCATATTGTGCACAGCAAAAGGACTAGCAGTGTGAGGCAGCAGCCAAAAAAGTTAATACAATTCTTGGTTGTATAAACAGAGGCATAGAATCGAAATAACGTGAAGTATTAGTACCATCTTGTAAAGCCTTAGTAAGACCACACCTGGAATACTGCATCCAGTTTTGGTCACCACATCACAAAAAAGATGTTGAGAGCTTGGAAAAAGAGAAGAGCAACTAGGACGATTAAAGGCCTGGACACAAAAACATATGAAGAATAGTTGCTTGATTTGGGTATGGCCAGTCTAAAGAAAAGAAGGACTAGGGGTGAGATGATAGCCGTGCTCCAATATTTGAGGGGCTGCCACAAAGAAAAGCCTTGGTAGTACAGTGGTCTAAAGCACCCTGTTATTAACACAGCTGCCTGCAATTACTGCAGGTTCGAATCTTACCAGGCTCAAGGCTGACTCAGTCTTCCATCCTTTCTAAGGTAGGTTAAATGAGGACCCAGTTTGTGGGGGCAATAAGCTGACTTTGTATGAATATACAAAAGTATGAAGGCTATTGCTTAACGCATTGTAAGCCGCCCTGAGTCTCCGGAGAAGGGCGGCATATAAATCAAATTAAAAAAAAATAAAAAAAGGGGGGGGGTCAACTTATTTTCCAAAGCACAAGAAAGCAACACAAGAAGTAATGGATGGAAACTAATGAAGGAGAGAAGCAACCTAGAAGGAAAAACCTTCCTAACAGTGAGGACAATTAACTAGTGGAACAGCTTGCCTTCAGAAGTTGTAAGTGCTTCATCACCAGAGGTTTTTAAGAAAAGATTGGGCAGCCACCTATCTGAAATGGTATAGGGTCTCCTCTTTGAGCAGGGGTTTGGATTAGAAGACCTCCAAGGTCCCTTCCAAGTTGGAGGGGTCTCTCCAACTCTATTCTGATTTACTGATAGTTAAGTATAAAATATAAAGCTCTGTTCTCTTTTTATTTTGTCCTTCTAGAACAAGTGCAGTCTAAGTTTTTAGAGCAGCATTGCTATTTTATTTATGTATTTACCTAACTCCAATGGACTCTGAATGCATCTTTTGGCTAGTGGTGGGCATGACTAAAATGAAGGTCAGCTGTATCTGAATCTTTGATATAGAAATCTGAAGTTACTGGGAAGGTATCAGTTGTTTTAACCTTGGAGTGGCTCAAATTATTTAGTGGCTCCTATAGGATACCTTTCCCAGTTAGGAACATTGAACCACAGAAAAACTTTTATACTGACAAGGTGGCAGATACTACCATCTGCTGTTTTGGAGGTCAACATTGCCCAGAAGTAGAAACCCAGAAATATATCATCCTCCATTGTCCATTCTATAGACAAATAAGGGATAGACTTATTTTTCCTTGAGTAGTAGGAAACCTGATAGACCTGACTTGGCTTATGCCCCACTTCTATTAAAGGATGATAGTCCCTGCATCAGGGCTAATATTGCAACATCCAGCACAAGTGCTTTCAAACTTCAATAGATGTGTACTGAACACGGGACTAGTTTGA